CATTTGTTGTCTACAAGCCTCCAAGCCTGCCTTCCTCCCCCGGGATTCTTAACCTCCCCTCCCCTTTCGTTTTTTTTTTTGGTGGGCGGAAGAACCGGAGACCAATGGCTGGCGGAGGGCACACAATCGCCCAACAACACCCGAAACTACTACAAAACTGCGAAACTGGGAAACTGGCAACAGGAAGCCGCCAGCGCAGAGCCAAAGTGGAAAAGTGGGAAAGTGAATGGAGCGCGGCAATGTCAACACATGGAAATTGCAAGGACAGCAGCGGCAGCGGGAATAAAGGAAAACGGTGGAAAACCGAAAAGGAAAACGAATAACAGCAGCCACAGTAACTATAAACTGGAATGATATGGCCAACGAACATAACATAACCACACGGAAAAAAATGTACTGTAATAAGGATGGATTGAATTTTAAATAAAATAAAACAATGAATTTTTTTATTATAAGTCAACGGTTTTTTCAAATTAAGAGAACAAAATTAAGATCTATATATTTAAGCAGACTTTTGTGCATAAAATTTGAAAACTAAAATATTGATTAACATATTTTCTGTAATTTTGATTGATTGAACTTGAATGATCATTAAACTATTCCATAATAAGTTTTTGTAATAAGTACATAAATGTCAATTTATTTATACACATTTATTGAATTTAAATATTTTGTTATTTGAAAAATGATATATAGAATACGTATTTGCACTTTAAGTATTGTTTTATTTTTTATTGAAGTTTTGCTTTTGAATTTCCTGCTTGCTTGCTCGTTTTTTTAATACTTTGTAGTTAGAGTGTAAGCAAATGATTTTTTGCAGTGCAGCCAAACGGCAAGAGCGGAGCTAGTGAACCCAGTAGGACCCCAGATAGCTCCTAGAACGAAGTTAGGCTGCGCCGGGCGGAAGCAATAAATTGGTTAGGTAAAAAGCTTGTCGCAAACGCAGACACCGGTAAAAAGCGGCACGCGAGGCCGAGACAGGCCCGTAATTTTAGGTCCGCCAAAAAGTTGGAGGCGGAGTGAAATAGAGGTGCCCAAGGATGGTTTATTCCCCATGAGGTTGCAAATTAATACTAAATGTCTGCCATGCAAATACATAATTGACTTTAAATTTGTTTTGACAAGAATAAGTGGAAAACTTTGCAAATATGTTGGATGGGAGTATGGGAGGTGTTAGAGGTTGTGAAAGTTTTATGTCTGTCATAAGTGCAAGCATCAGCTTTCAAAATCACTTTAGAAAAGTTTACAAAAATAAATGGTATCAAAATTTAATTAGTTATTTAATTAAACTTTCAACTTCAAAATAATTTCATAAAATATTGATTTACATAAAAGTTTAGTTATTTAGGCTGACAACGTTTTTATTGCAATTGTAATAAGCGTTACTCAGCGTTGCTTATAAAATTAAAATCTATATTTAAGAGTAGACTGTTAAGCTTTTGTTTCATTTAATTTAAAAATAACTACATTTAAGAGAAGATTATGCAGTTAAAGTAGTATGCACTTTGATATAAACATTATCAATCATTATGGTCATAAAAACATTAGAAATTGAATTCGTTAGATACAAATATAATAATACTTATGAGCCCACTAATGGATATTTTATTAGGGTGTTTATGAAAGATAGACAATTTATATGTTAAATACATTTACTTTCTCCCCATTTTCATATTTTGTTTTAATTGTGAACCTTTTTAATGGCCACGCTGGTTATGTCGGCCTCCTTGAGCTCCTCGTCGGTGGTGCCATTGTAGATGTGCTTCAGATACAGATTGAAGTAGTCGGTGTAGTTCATTGGCGTGGATATTTGATGCTTCCTAACCGGAAGCCGTGGTGACAGGGACAACATGCTGGCCCACTGTCCGTCACAGAGGTCATCGTACCGCAGCAGACCCACCTCGTGACCACCCAAGTCGCCAGGACCGCGGCACATGGGCTGCTGGCCATCCCACAGCTTCAGCACAAACTCCCGGATCCACCTGGCCAAGTAGAGGGCTCGACAGTCGCAGTGCCACGGATTCTTGTCCAGCTTGACGGCCACCAACTTTTCCAGGCCATGCAGAGCTCCATGGGGCAGGAACATCAACTTATTGGAGTCAATGCGGCTGATAAAAATAAATAAACAATGCATATACAAGTATATAAAATGTTAAAGGAGTTTTGTAACCCACAGTTTTTCCAGTTGTGTAAGCGGTTCAAAAGCGCTGGCATCGAAATTTTTGAGTACATTATTGTTGAGCAACAAGATCTTGAGATTACTCAAGCCCTGAAAATCGTCAGCCTCCAAGGTGGTTAGATTATTGGAGAATAGTGTCAATCGAGTGAGAGCACTGACATTCAGGAAAAGATCTGCAGGAATGCTGGACATGGAGTTCTGGCCCAAAAACAATTCATTAAGGTTACTTAGCTCCACAAAGGCATGGCCATCAATCTGTTAAAAACAAAATAAAATAAAAAATATAAAATCATAGATTAAGTAATTCTCACATGACTTATTCGATTCATGGTTAAATCGAGGGTCACCAAGTTGGCCAGATTATTGAATATGGTGGCCGAAAGCGATGATATGCGATTGTTGTGCAGCGAAAGAGTTCGCAGACTTCTCAGGCCCACAAAAAAGTCATCATGTATTTTGGCTGGAGAAGGATTAACTTTGTATAACCATTTTTATAATATTTATTATAGCTCTCACATATTTGATTCCATCCAAAATCGAGTGTCTTTAGTTTGCCCAAAAATCGTATGCTGCCCGACATTAATTCAGTGATTTTGTTCCGCGACATATCCAGTTCCTCGAGCATTAGCTGATCTCTTAGGAGGTTGGGTGGAAAGTTCTGAATCTTATTGTCGCACATATTGATGACGGTGAGCCTCTGGCAGTGGTAGAATATTGATTCGGGCAGCATGCCAATCTCATTTTTATGCAGATCCAGGATATTCAGATGGCGCAGCTTCCAGAAGGTACGATGGTCAATGTCCTCCAGTTGATTGTTTTGAATGCGCAGTACCAGCAAACTATCAAGATCCTGGAACAAATCGAAGGGCAGGAAGTCCAGCACATTGTGTGATATGTCCAGCTCCTTGAGGACTGTCAATCCGCGAAAGGTGTCCTTGTGCAGCGTGGACAGGATGTTGCGGGAGAGATCGCTAAGTGAGATTTCATAAAAGGTACTATTTTTAAGATAAACAAGATAAACCCAACTCACATATTCACCATATTCATGGGTATGACCTGGGTGACCGGCACCGACTTCAGATTGGTGTTCCAGCAGGTGAAGCTCTTGGTGTCCGGATTGCAGCGGCACACGCCCGAGGTGCAGTGGTTCCACTCGATCTGGCTGCCAGTGGCCAGATGCCAAACGGGCTGCTCCACGGAGCGAAGGCGACTCTCGATCTGCCGCACCCGCTTCACCAGATCGAAGTTGGCCAAATGGGACATGGCACTCACCTCGCCACTGCCCACATCTCCGTTGCCATGGCCATTGGGCTTTGGCTTCGAGGGTTTCCGATCACTGGCGGTGCTGTGCGTTCCATTGGGCATCGAATTGATGAGCATTAGTAGCTGGGATACAATGCCCAGCGATTCGCAGGCATTCAGACTGCAGTTTCTGGTGTCCGAGGAGATCAAAGGTAGCAGGTACTTCTGCCGGAACTCATCCAGACTCTGGATGGGCAGATCCTTGGACTGCGGTGGACCACCGGTGATCACCTCGGCCGGATCCATTAGCAGTATAATGCTGAATAGTTGAAAGATTCCCAGCGACATGTTTCCGCAGTGATTTCCAGCGACGCTCTGAAACGGCTGCCTCGATCTGCAGTCCCATTTATAGTCCACCTCGTTGCGATTCAATTCGTAATTCAAATAATTTGCAAGAAGGCAAAAATTAGCATTTACTGCAATTACACTTAAGTAGCTCACAGCGCCACATGAGTGCAGCGCATCTCTCAGTCGTCCAGACCGCACCAAAATGGTCCAGAGTCCGCCTAGAAACCGAAAGTCTATGTTCGCACGCCTAACGATCAACCGAGTGTCTGTATGATGAACCTGAATCTGAATCTGAATGCAGAGAGCTGGAGAGATCGGCTGGGGAACCCCCCAGAACGCTGACTCGTATTTATCGCATCTCGTAATTGGTCACTCAAGTGTTCTATAGTAGATGAGCCTGTCTGTCTGAACTGCATACAAGCGGGTGTAGTTCGTTTTCTTAAATAATTGTAAATTAAAACCTTTTCAAAGCATTTTTATATACCATAATATATAAAATCACCTATATATTAAATATAGTAATTTAAAACCTTTTGAAAGCATTAAACAGTCAAAAAGCTAAAGTTGCTATCCAACAAATATTGTTTTTTATATATCATTATATTTTAAGGCACCTGACAAACAAGCAAGTTGCTCAAGTATTTAAATATCAATTAGAAAAAATGTAGATTTATTAATAAATATACAATTTTTAATGGTTCATAGAAATTTATTTCCAATCAACATCTTTTTGAAAGTAAAAGAAATTTTTTAGTCTTTATGACATCTGGAAATCCTGTGTTACGCCATTAAAATATTTTCCATTGAGATTGCTAGAATTGTAAGAGTTTAAATAATACATGTTATATTTTGAATTGTTTTTGTTAAAAATACATTGTCTTCAATAATACTTTTAATCTTTTATTTCCTTTTATGGCTAAAAAATATGTAAGTACCCAGATAATCCCAAAAGAAATATTATAATTATATTATGATTGCATTTTTTATAATTTACAATTTACACAATACAATAATTTAGTTCAATGGATTCTTTATCAAAAGCTCTTTAAATCTTCAATTTAAATTTAATTTTAATTTCAGTTGAAATTAGAGAAACTGGTTACTTAAAACGAAAAGCGCCACCTAGCGAGATTTATAAGCATACCCATTTACGGGTCAACTGTTCCCATTGCTGCGCCCTCTGGCAAAACCCACCCTTCCCATTCAACCCCTATTTATGAACTCAACATATAGATGGCGCTTTGTGAGAACCGCATCCCAACTAAAACATTAGTTTATTGAAATTTCCCCCAAATTCAACGAGTATAAGACTAAAAGCTCTTCCTGGACTGACACCGGTCGAAGGCCAGCTCGATGGGCTTCACGCAGAGCTTGGATGCCACATCCCGGTACTTGGTCAACAGGGAGTTCGGATAGGGCAAGGCCCGCAGATCCTCCACGTAGTTCATGTGCATCCGCTCCAGTTCGCCAGGCAGCCGGATGGGTTGGGACTCCTCCGCCGGCTTGCTATCCTGGATGCGGCCACAAAAGTCATCCAGTCGCTCCGTGAAGTTGGGCACAAAGAATTCAGGGTCCAGGGCGATGAATACCTGGCCAAGATTAGAGGGTTGCCTTGGATCCAAGGGAATTCGGGTGGCATATTGGGCGCCGGAGAGCACTCCACAAAGGAGATCGATCATGGCCGACAGGCAGTAGCCCTTGTGGCCTCCAGCGGGGTAGAGCAATGGTGACCTCAGCGCCAAATTGGGAAAAATGGTGGAGAAACCCGCCTCGTTGGCCGCCCAGCCATGCGGTATGTACTCATCATTGGCCCAAGCCCACTCCACAGCTCCCATATCCCGCACGCTGGCCGCCATGTCGAGCACAAAGTGGCGATCCCTGCCCCTCACACAGAAGGCCAGGCAATTGGCGCCAATGCTGGCCGACTTGGTGTGCGGAGCCATCATCGTTGGGGCCGCATTGGACATCACCAGGCCAGCCAATCCCTGGACAGCGGCACGGAATGCATACCAGCTGGCCATGCCGAAGTGATGCGACTCCTTGGCCACCACGAAGCCAATGCCTGCACTCTGGGCCTTCTGCACCGCCAGATCCATGCAGAAGTTGCCCACCAGGACGCCCAGGGCGGAGTTACCGCTCACATGGGCGGTGGCCAGTGTTTCACTGAGTACCGTGGGTTCCGCATCCACTCTGGCGTGTCCCCGCTGCAGGTCATCCAGGTAGACATCCAGGCGATTGAGTCCGTGGCCAAAGTTGCCGCGATAGTCGGCCACCACCAGGAACTCGCTGATGCAGCGCACCTTGGCGGCCGGAACTCCAACGCGCATCAGGCAATCCTGGATGAAGCGACGCGCCTCGTCCACCAGAACTAAGGAAGTTTCGCCACGCTGCTGGGGGAAGGTCTTCCCGGGCATGTGGAAGCCACGCAGGCAGCTCGCCAGCCATTGAACTGGCCGAAAAAACGGCAACATCTGGAGTTCATCCAATGGAAAGATCTGGCTGGGGTTGCTATAAGTATGAATATATTTGGGGAAGCCTTAAGGTTATAGGTTAAGCAGACTTTTCAATAAGTAAGGTATTCATAAAATAGTTACGGATTTCAAAAAGCAAGCAAGTTAAAATAAAAAAAATGTATAAATTTTTAAGGTTTTGCATAGTATTTTCTAATTAATAGACTACTCAAAAAAATTACAGATTTTAGTGAGCAGGAGCAAGATAAACGTTTTAAATATTATTTTTAATTTAATAGACTTCATTAAACACTTTTAAAAAATGAATAGACTACTCAAAACAACATTAGCTTTTAATGAGCAAGAGAAAGATAAACGTTAAACGTTTTAAATATTATTTTCACTGTAATAGACTTCAATAAACACTTTCAAAGTAATAAATTAGTTATGATTACTAATTTTAAATCATTCATTGAGTAATTATGTATAAAATAAGCATTCATATCCGATAGTTAGACAGATACTTTCTTTGAAACACTTTAAGAACTTTGTTATACTTGGAGTATTTTGAACGCAAGAAGCAGTTGATTAAAGGATTACTGGGAGTAGTATATAGTGGTGTAGTAGAGTATGGGCCCTTAGTTCAAGGCAGTGGAGGTCAGAACTGCCACGCCTCGTTCGTAGAAGCTGTGCGAATCCTGTCCAGCGGCCACGGCCAAGTCCACGGTGAAGAGCAGCTCCGTGCGGGTGGAGTTGAGGTAAACGGGCAACGTCAACTTGCTGATGCGCGGCTCCGAGGAGATCCTAATGCAAAAAACACAACAATTAATAAAGATATATATAGTATATCCATCGCACACTCACTTCATCCACTTGAGGATGGTCACGGGCAGATCCATCATGATGGTGGAGGCCAGCAGCAGCTCGTTGTTCTTGCACTGGGCGCCCTGCAGCTTCAGCCCTGTGACGCCGAAGCAGCAGTCCTTCTGGTCGGTCTTGAGGCCCGCATCCGTGATGGTCACCTCGAGGGCGAGCTCCTCCAGCGACCAGCTGTTCGCCTGGGCCACACACTGCCGGGTGGCCGTGATGTAGGCCTCCGGATTGAGGAGGCCGCCCAGCCAGACGGGGAATCCCTGCAGCTCCTTGGCGCCGGCCTGCGACACCAGCTGCGACACCTTCTGCAGCTGCTGCACTCGGTTGCTGAAGTCGGTGATCCACTGGATGACGGTGCAGCCGGCGGGCACGGTGTACCGCTTCCAGCCCTTCGGTATGATGCCGCGCACCAGCTCGGAGAGCATGGAACGGTGGTGGTTGGTTTGCTTCTTCTCGCCCTGGCAGATCAGCACCACGTCCTGCAGGTCCAGGATTACCGTCTGCAGCAGCCGCGACCCACTGGTCACCTCGCGCTCGAAGTAGCGATACAGCGGATCCTTGATGTTCTCCACCGTTCGCTTGAGCACCTGCAGGCTCTTCGGCAGCAGCTCCAGCCAGGCGGTGGCCGAGTTGTGGAGCGCCTTCATCCACGACGGGCGTCCATCCTCGCCGCGTCCCGCTGCCGACTGCTCCGACTGATCCTCCACGCTGTAGGCCAGCTCGTCGTCGTCCTCCAGCTGCTGCATCTTGAGCAGCTTGCTGACCAGGTCGGTGCCGCGTGTGGTCAGCAGCACCTTCTCCGCATTGTTGGGCAGGCCGAGCCACGACGGCGTCTGGCGGTCCGTGAGGTTCTCGATCCACTTCAGGAAGTGATCGCGACGCGTGCCATCGGGCATGGTGATGTGACGCAATCCCCCAGAGGCTCCATCCACGTTGGCCACCAGGGCGAAGTCCGCCTCGAAGCTGCGGGCGGTGAAGAGCTTCTTGAGGAACGAGGTCAGCAGGCGCTGGTCGAAGTCGTTGTCGATCTTGCCGCCGTAAATGGACTGCGAGAGCAGCGTCACCAGGGCATCCCAGGGCACCTTCTCCGGCGGCAGATTGGTGCGACCCATGGCCGTGGTGTCGATCCACGTGTCCAGTGTGTCGCAGGCGACCCGCAGATCCGACTCGTTGAACTCGTACTTCTTGGCCCATCCGAGGGGCACATAACGCAGTCGCTCCTGGACGATGGCATGGAACCAGGCGAGCAGGAAGTACAGACGTGCCCGCTCACTGGGCGTCTTCATCATGCGCGCCGCCGGCACCGTGGAGAAGGTGCGCAGCAGATTGGCCCGAATGCCTGGCGGTGGCTCGAACACAAAGATGCGACCAGCACGCAATAGGTTGACAGGCACCTTGGGATTAATCTCCATGGTGAGGAAGAGCCGGAAGGCGGAGTGCGGCTGCAGCGAGTGCATCTTCTTCTCCAGCTGCACCAGCCACTGGGGCGCCAGGTGGACGTTCTTCAGCAGCACCCAGCGACCCGTCTTGCAGGCCATGTTGATGGCCCGCTCCGCCTGGTTGAATCCCTCGGCCGAGCCGATGGCAATGCTGGATATCTGCTTGTTCTGCTCCGCGGCCAAGTCGTCCACCCGTCCGGAGGCATCGAAGCCGGGCACCGAGCACAGCAGGGCCGGCGTGTTGCAGTTCAGCTGCTTGTCCACCACGGCGGCAAAGTCCAGCTCCTGCTCGGCATTGGGCATGAAGTCCTCGCCCAGCACACTGTTCACCACATTGTGGGCGGCGGCAATGACGCGATCCGGCCGGAAGGCCTGGATGAGCAGCAGCTGATGCACGGAACTGGCAATGGGCGTGAGGGCCTTGGACTCGTCCCACAGCTGGGGCACCACCTGCTCCGGCGAGCTCTGCTGCAGCCAGGCACCCAGCTCGGGCATGGAGCGCACCTTCTCGAGCAGCCGCCTGAAGATGGGCAGCCGGGTGGCCAGGCGGTTGACACCCTCGATCTGCTCGGCGGAGAGACCATCCACCTGGGTGGGATTGGCCAGCAGACCCTCGCGGCTGCGCAGGAAGAAGTTGAACTCGGCATCGAGGTTGGACTCGGCGGTGCCCTTCAAATGGATCTTGCACATGAGCAGGGCGAAGGTGAGGCGATCGTTGTGGATCATGCCGCGGGCCACCCGCTCGTAGCAGACCTGGAAGAGATCGCGAGTGACGATGCCCAGGCGCTCGGAGTGATCGGTGCGGCCCTCGAGCTTGGCGTTGTTGTAGAGCACCGTGGAGAAGATGTCGAGGAACATCTTGAGCGAGTACTGGTAGAGGAAGTGCACCTGGTTGAGGCTGTCCATGGTGAAGTAGATGTTGCTGCAGGCCACCGAGAGCGGAAGGTACTGCTGCGACACCGTCTCGATCTCGGCTATCACCTTGTCCGTCTCGTCCACCTTCTGGTTGATGTCGTAGGCCTCCTTCTTGAGCGTCTCCAGCGTGGTGATCACCGAGTCGTCGTCCAGTATCTTGCCCTTCGCATCGTTCAGCGCCTGCAGCAGGCTCTTCTCCAGCTGGCGCAGTCGCAGCCGGAACTCGCCCTGCAGCTTCAGCAGATCGGAACGCTTCTCGTCGATGTCCGGCCGCTCGGCCTTGAGCACCTGGTTGAGGCACTGCGACTGCAGCGAGCTCCTCGTCACCGTAAAGTTCACGAACGTCACCCGGGAGCAGATGTCGGGCGGGAATTCCACAGTGGGATCACGTGTGGACAGGAAGATGACGAACGATGGCGACAAATCGATGTCCTGATCGCCCAGGGTGATCAACACTCGACCGCCAGTGCGTCGCAGTTCGCGATTCAGCACCGGATTGAGTATGGGATCGTAGTTCTCGACATCCTGGACCAGCAGCGGATTGCCGAAGCGCAGCGCCGACTCCAGGTTCTTGCGGAACGAGTCGTCCAGGAAGGAGGTCTTCGTGATCTTCTTGCCCGCGTACTCGTTGAGCAGGAAGGTGGTGGCCTGACCCGAGGGATCGATGATCAGCGGATAGCGGTTGAAGCGCTTCAGCATGATGGCGTTCTCCGTGCACAGGTCATCGGTGGGCAGGGCGTTGGCCTGCCAGCGCAGTCGCTCGTCCGGATTGGACAGGTACTCGGTGCGGGCGATGTCCGCCCGGTACTGAATGCTGGCCGCCTGCAGGTGCTGCGACCAGGTGGTGAAGAGGTTCAACCGATAGTGCTGGTCGAAGTAGCCGCCGTAGGCGATGAAGGCGGCCGAGAGCAGCACGTCGCCCACAATGGTGGACATCTGGGACTTGAAGGTCTCGCTGGTGGACTCCCAGCGCTCGCGCTCGATGTTCAGACTCTTGAGCAGGGCAATGGAGCGATCCACCTTGGCCTGGACGTTCTCCAGGTCCGTCTTGATGGCCTGAGCCTGCGAAATGAGCTGCGCGTACTCCTCCTTGTAGGCGGCAATGCTGCGCTCCAGCTGCTCCACCAAGTCCTTGGTCTCCTTGGCACTGGCCAGATTGACATCGGCCTGCTCCTCCAGGGAGCGCAGCTCCTCGCGCAGCGGCTCCACGCGCTTCAGCATGTCAGCGTACTCAATCTGTTTTGGGAATTGTTTGTTATTGTTTAAGAAGGATTTAGGTTCGAATTCAAATAAATCTCACCTGAGCAATGGCCCATTTCACCATGGGACCACAGGCCATACTGGCGCGATTCACCTTCTCAAAGTTATAGTCCGGATTGCTCAGATACTTGGACTTCATCTTCTCGCGCACATCGTCGCTGTTTTAATACATATTTTATATTAATAACCAATCGAACCCCCAGTTTAGTGAGTTAATTGAATGAATCAAGCAAGCAAAGCAGTAGGATAACTATGAAACAGCCTTAAATTTGACCAAAACCAAAGGGAATCAAACAAAAGTTAGAGCCAATTACCAAAGTTAGATGAAAATTCAGTTGAATCATTAGAAAGTTTCAATATTTACAAACCATAAGGCAGCTTGGCTTAAACAATTCAAACTCAAACTAATAAAACTACATAGAAAGTAACAACAAACTCAAATAAAAACCAATTTCTACACACAAGAACTATGGCATAACATCAAAAAAAACATCAACAAGAACAAAAAAAAATGGGTGTGTTGGTAATAATTTGAATCATGCTTACGTTATGTTCTCGGTACCGAAGTTAGATACAATTGAATTTATGAAATTTTCGCGCATGATCACGGCCCGGATCGATTTCCAATCGGTCGCATTTTCGCCCAGCAGCAAACAAATCGATTCGAGAGCCAATTTGACCACCGACGGCGGATTAGCCATGGTTCGCACCTCAACGAGCTGTTGCTTGCGGATCGACTTGACCGCTGCTCATCGTCGATTTAGTAGTTGATTGGTTGGTTGGTTGTTTGGTTGGTTAACATGGGGGATCAGAATTAATATACGGTTTGAGCACAACGTTGCACTTATCCATTGTTATAAGACTAGGCTAGGTTACCATCTAGTTAATTACTAAAGACCGATCCGGCTCATTGCACCTGGTTCTGAATCGGGGTTACGACAGCTGGTTAAAAATACAATAGTTTGTACTCTTGCAAAGTTAAATGTCGTTTGAAGAACAAAAAAAAATATTTAATAAAGAAAATGAATTGTTAATATGTAACATGAGATTTTGAACTGTTTTTTTTTTTTTTTTTTTTTTTTTTTGTATCTAGTCAAGAGAAAGAAGAAAATTTATTGTTCTGATCAGCTTTTCAACTAAACTAATTTTACAGAACATTAATTTAAATTTTCTTAATAATTAATAATTTTTTTTTTTTTTTTTTTTTTTTTGTTTTATAAAAATTCTCTGCAAGAGTACAAAGAATTCGGCGAGCCGAACTAAACAAAACCTATGATAACTAAATTCACCATTCAAATGTTTGTCCTTAGTTTCACACACACACACACAAAAGAGACAACTTTTTTACACATCATACATACATCACATCACATATCCTAATATAAAAGGATATCAAAGGAGGGTTAGAGGTTATGATAAGTTGAGTTGGCCAGTGCATTGCGTATGCTTTGGTGTTTGCTTGTATATGTATATTGAGTATATATTGTAGTTATGGGTGTAGTATACGAATGGAGATTATATTCAAATGACAAGGATCGACGGATCCGCCCACAGGGTTTAATCGGTTTTAGACGCTCGCTGATTAGGATTCAATGGAGTGAAGTGCTATAGATGATATCGTGATGCTTGAGAGAAAGAGAGAAAGAGTTGGGTTGCGTACGTGATCTTGTCAGTCTCCAAGTTAACGATCGAGGAGATGAAGCTGTCTTTAACGAGGATGCCCCTAATGGCCTTCCAGTCGGCGGCACTCTCGTTGAGCAGCTCGCAGACCGACTCCAGGGCCAGTTTGACCACGGCCGGTGGATTGGCCATCGACCGCACCTCGGCCAGGTGTTTTTTTTTGATCGAGCTAACGGCTGTCGGAGTTGCGATGGTGGATTGGTGGGTCAAAATCATAAAACAGGTGAGCCATATACAAGTATATATCAAGACTGCTATTTGAATGATATATACATCACCCAATGCCAATCTTGTTTTATCTTTAGGTAACTTATTATAAAAACTAACTTAAGTGCCCGCCCTTTGCGACATTTTAGCCCGATGGACTCACCTGCTTGGGCATCGATAACGGCCGGTTCCACCTGGGCCAAATCGGCCATCACATCCTTGCGCTTCTCCTCGATCTTCACGGTTTGATCGGCCAGACGGATCTGGATCTCCTGCGACTGGATCTTCTTCTTCTCCGCCTCCTGCTGGTCCTGGAACATCTGCTTGAGCTTGGCATTGGCGGCCTCGTTCTTGGACTGCAGCTCCTGCTTCTTGACGGCCAGCGACTTTTGCATCTCCTCCACCTGCTCCACGGTTTCGGCGATCTTGTTGAGACCCACGTTGAGATGCAGCTGCTGTTCCTCCAGATCACTGCGCTTCTCGTTGTACAGCTTGACAAAGTGGTGGATGAAGTCGAGGTAGTGACGTGGCGTCACGGCCATGGTGCGGCCGCCACGCTTGGCCAGCCGCGCGTTGGCCTGGTGCAGCGTCTGGTGGACGTACACACACGAGTTGATCACCGCGTCGCGATGGCTGGGATTGGCCGGCACCAGGGGGCAGACGGAGGGGAAGAAGTCGGGGGCATGCCAGTTGGGCTTCTCCAGGTCGACGCGCGTGGTGAACTCCTTGCCCACCTGGAACAGGGCCGAGTCCGACCAGTCGCCGAACCAGTTGAGCACACAGCGATTGAACAGGGCCGGCGAGGTGGCCGCGCGATCCTTAAGTCCATCGGTGGAGGGGTTCATGGTGAAGACCACGTGCAGGTTGCGCATCACCTGCTGCGTGAACCACTTGTACAGCTCGTCGCTGGAGTCCAGCATGAGGCCCTCGCGCTGGGCGCCCTCCTTGCACTGCGTCATCAGGGTGGTGTACTCGTCGCCCTCGAACAGGCCGGGCACCTCGCCGTTGGCCAGCAGCGTGTTCATGCGCTCCAGGAAGCCCGAGTCCAGCACATTCGACTCGTCCAGGATGAAGGCGATCTTCTCGTCCTTGCAGCCCGAGCGGCGCAGCACGGAGCGCAGATCTTCGTCAAAGTCCTCGCCGGTGTACTTGTTGTGCACCTTGATCTGGAAGATGGACAGCCCGTTCATCCAGGCCACAAAGCGCGATAGCGTGGTCTTGCCCGCTCCCGACACGCCGATGAGCAGCAGGTGACCCTGCGGCTGGCGGAAGATGCGATCGATGCGCAGCACATGGTCGAGCACCTCGTCGAAGAGGACGAGCGGCACGTCGAGCTCCTCCTCGTAGAAGACCTTCAGGCGGGCGCGCACATAGTCGCGCAGCTCCTCGCGATTCACTGGCATGTAGTCCTTGCTCAGCCAGTTGCTGTAGAGGATCGGCCGCTGCAGCGCCTCCTCCTGGTTGATGCCGGGGAAGTGTTTCTGGCCCACCAGATCGATGTTCTCGTTCGTCCACCTCCGCTCCGAGTCGTCCACCAGTCGGTCCTGGAACAGGCGCAGCGCCTCGTGGGCCCAGAGGCGCACCAGTCCCTCCACCGGCAGCGAGTCCAGCGGTCGGATGGCCTCGCAAATGCCGCGCACCCAGCGGGTCATCTCACGCGGCGAGTAGACGTAGTGCGGCTGCATGTCCTGCGTGAAGCGATCCTGCGAGGCCAAGTAGAACTCCACCATGGCGTTGGTCAGTGGCTCCGCATAGCCACGAAGTGCGGGCATCAGGCGCAGCATGGCGCGCGAGAAGGTGCCGTAGATCTGCTTCAGCGAAGTCTCGCCCGGATAGTCCACATAGATGATGGGCACGTGGCGCAGGAAGCGATGCGACAGCGGCTTGCGACCGGGATCAGTGGGCGGATTGCAGGCGCCCACGAACTGAATGCGCTCCAGCGAGACCCACGCCTGGTCGCTGGCCCTGTAGAAGCCCTTGTGCTCCACCAGTTGGCGCAGGAACGAGATCACCCGCTGCGTGCCATAGCTGTCCATGTCCGGCAGGTTGATCTCATCGCAGAACAGCACCAGCCACTTGCCAATCTGCACGGGCGAGAGGACCACGCCGTTGGGCGTCTTCCGGTACTCGCAGTAGTGGTCGAACGTCTTCAGCAGCAGCTCCGGCGTGGTGGCCGAGGAGAAGTTCAGGCCCACCACCTCCATGTCGGGCAGGGCGCGCAGGGCCGAGAACAGCGTCATGGTCTTGCCGGAACCAGGTGGTCCACAGAGCACTAAGGGATGGCAAATGTAAGATTGCAATACTGCATTGCATTAAAAAGGGGTAATCTAAACTCACCCAAGGGCTTGTGCTCGGCCAGCCACGTGTAGAGCAGCGACTCGTGGCGCACAGTGTCCAGCGTGGGCACCACAATGTCCGGAGAGGCCACCTTGTGGGTCTCCACCTCGATCACGGGCACCTTGTTGCTCCACGGCACCCAATCGCCACTCATGTTGACCTCAAAGTCGATGATCGGCGCACCGGCTGCCCCTGGCAGTGGCACCGTGGTCACACTGCGCACAAAGTCACCCAGATCGGTGCGCACCTTGAGCTTGGCATCGCCGGCAAAAGACCAGAGCACAGAGTAGACCAATGCCTTGGGTATGTAGTGCTCCAGCTGATCAGCGGAGCAGGGGAAGTCCGGATGCTGTGCATTGAAGGTGAGCACATTGCGGGCCGCCTGATTCAGCATGGAGAAGAGGGAGCTGAGGGCCCGCAAGCGGGTGAAGTCCATGATGTGCTCCTGGTCCATGGCGTACTCCAAGGTGCGCACCACAATGCCATCGGCCGAGAAGAAGGGCAGCAGCAGCATGGCAATGTCACGCTGCACCTGCAGCGAGGGTGACACCTCCTCCTCCTTGTCCTTCGATGGCTTGATGACGCCCACAAAGTCCTCGTCGCCATCCTCCAGGGGAATGCTGCGCAAACGCGACAGATAGTTCTCGAATATCATCTCGGTGGAGAGCACATCCTCCGAGAACCACACCATGCCGCATCGCGACACGGTGGCCAAGGTGGCGAACTTCAAGTCCTGCACCTCGAACATCACACGCACGTTGGGCGGCAGCGAGAGACGCTCGCCGTTGGGCAGGGTGAGCAGCTTGTTGTCGTCCAGCACCGAGTTGAGGTTCTCCACCCACTCGGGATCCACGTCGCCGTCGAAGATGATCCATTGCCGCTTGTTGATCTCGCCGCGCACATTGTCGATGATCTTGCGCAGAATGTGGGTGAACAGGCCGTCGGTCCACTCACGCGTGTTCGGATCCAGGACACCGTAGAGCGCCTCCTTGGAAATGGCCTTGGGATCGATCACATGGGCCACGCCCTCGACGCCCTCGAAGCGTTCGAGTGCCTTCAAGAGAGTCTTCCAAGCGGTGGACTTGCCGGATCCCGATGGACCCACCATCATGAGTCCATGGTTCAGGTTGGAGATCTGGTACAGTTGCAGCACCTGGTAAATGGAACATGGTATTAGCACTTGGACAAAACACCCCTCGAGAATTAGTTACTTTGTCCACCCAGGTGGAGCCGAGTCCCTGACGGTTAGTAAGCATGTGTAAAGCGAATGGTTATGAAGTGGATCACAATGCGAATCCATGTCCAATTGGGTGCATCGATTTTGAATGGAAACAAAAGGGTAAAAGTAATCAGATACACTAAACACTGAATTTTAATTGAGGGATTTTAATTTGTACTATTTGTATACCCTTGCAGAGGGTATTATAATTTTAGTCAGAAATTTCATACTCTATAAAGTATTTAATTTGATAGGAATAGGAAAACGATGTCATATAGCTGATGTAATATAGCTGAAAATCATCATAGCTTCAATGTTTTTAAACAAACGCGCTTATATATCGAAATTTAGATGATGAAATTTTAAAGAATATATCATTTTTGCAATAGCTGCAAGGGTATATATACTTCAGCTTAAGATGAAAGTTGATGTTGGAAATAAAGTCTCCAAAGCAGAGTTGCAATGCAAGGTTCAAGGATTACTTTTCAACCCCCTTTCTTTTCTCCCACACAAATCGATCCACTGAAAAGTAACAAAACGTAGCCCTTACCTTCTCCATCCAGGCAGCGCCCTGCTCGTCGCCCTCGCCACAGACCAGGTAGTCCTCCTGGCACACCTTGCGGATCTCCTCCTTCAGACCCTTCATCTCCGCCCGCGTGTAGCCCACGTTGGGGAAGACGTCGCTGAGGAGGGAGAACAGCAGAGGAATGTCCTCGGCCACCAGCTTGGGCACCATGGTCTCGCACACCGACTGGATGAGGATCTCCTGCTCGGGCAGGTTCTCGGCCACCGAAGCCTCGTCGATGTTCTCGTCGCCACGTTGGCGCATCTGCTCCTTGATCTTCATGATGCGATCCCGCTTCACATTGCCGGCCGAGATGAGCACGGACTTGAGGGCACGCAGCCCAAAGTCGTAGTGGCTCTGGTTGGACAGCTGCTCGTCGCAGAGCTTGAAGAAGGGCACGATCTTGCAGGCCAGCTTCTCGGCCGAACGGAAGCCCTGCGAGAACAGCATAACCTCGGCAATGAGCTGGCGATCCGGCGTGGTCATGGCCAGCGAGCGGAAGAGCTTCTTCAGATTGTCCGGCAGATTGGAGCGGCCGGCATAGCCCGGATTCATGGTGATGAAGATGGCCATGTCCGGCGAGACGCGCACCTGCTTGCCCACCAGCTCGACGGTGATGCTCTCCTTGTTGCTGTCCATCTCGTACTTCAGCGCCTCCTGAATGGTCTGGATCTGCTGCGAGCAGGCGGACAGCATGCGCTCCTCCAGTCGATTGAACTCGTCGAAGCAGCCCCAGGCTCCCACCTGGCAGAGACCCACAAAGATGCGGCCCATGGCCTGGAAGTCGAAGGTCTCGTCGCAATTGAAGACCAACACGAAGCGTCCCAGTTGGTTGCCCAGCGCCTTGACCGACTCCGTCTTACCCGTGCCCGCGGGTCCGAAGGGTGAGCCTCCCAGACGCGACTCCAGGGCCTGGGTCATGGTCAGGTAGCAGCGATCCGTGAGTGGCGTCTGCACCAGGCGATCCTGCACACCCAAGTACTCGAATCCGTAGAAGAATCGGGCATTGGCCATGTGGATGGTCAGCTGCTGCAGCACCTCCGTCTGCCGGGGATCGAAGTAGAAACGCATCTCGCACAGCCACTGGAAGGACTTGGGCGAGGTTACGCCGTTGTTGAGTAGTCTTCTGGTCACCGTTCGCTTGTGCACAAACTCGTTGATCAGGTGCTCCAGCTTGCGGCGACGCAGCGGAGGCTGCTCCTGCAGCACAGAGTCGGCCAGCACGTTCAGAGTGCTCTCCACGTTGCCCAGCACACGCTGCATCGGCTTGGAGTTGTTGTTCTCGGAGGCCTGCTGCAGGGCTGCCTCCACATCCTCCGACCAGAGGATCTGGGCGGCCAGGACAACAATCTGCGCCTGGTATTTGTCACACCACTCCATGTAGGCCTATGGGTTAAATAGAAAGTTGGATTAGTAATTTAGAAAATTAATGGTAATTTAGGTACCCGTTTATCAGCTAACAAATTTCAAGCTAAATATTTTCCCGCAAAACAATCCGAGTCTAGGTGGAGCCATCTATCGGACTGCATAGCCAACAATAAAAGCTAAGAGCGTGCAGCACCTCGCTCTCTCTTTTACTCTCTCTCTCTCATCTGCTGCTCTCTCAAATCTGCTGCTCTCTCTCATCTGCTGCTTTCTCTCATCTGCTGAGCAGTGGCAGAGATGCGGCAGAGCTCTAATAACTTTTGAAATAATAGCTCGATTTTGAAAATGTTAGTGTCTACTGATAAATATAATCGAAGCCCACACACAGAATCCAATACCTACGTTCTAACATGTCTCATAGTGCCGTTACAGAGGTGTTTAGTGTTTCACGATTTGTGGGGGTTAGTAATAATAATCTCGAAGTTCATACAGACGGACAGACAGATGAACATTATTAAATCGACTCGGCTATTTATCCTGATCAAGAATATATATACTTTATAAGGTCGGAAACGCTTCCTTCTACCTGTTACATACTTTTCAACGAATACAATATACCCTTTCACTCTACGAGTAAGGGGTATACAAATGTGGCTTACCTGTGGATCGATCTTGCCATCGCGGAACTGCTTGATATCCTGCACAGCCTGGGCCAGAAGCGAGGCCAAGGTGAAGCGCATCTGCTTCTCCACCAGCGACAGCCACTCGTTGATCTTGGGATGCTCCACCGTGGACACTGGGTTGATGAAGTGCACCTCCTCGCCTTCGCGGGATGAGATACCCAAAATCACGTTGTTCTCCTCGTTCAACAGAATGGCAGCTACGCCGGCAAACATTTTCTTGAAATGCTTCTGCAGACGGGCAATGTTCTTGCTGTTGCCAATGATCTCCAGCAGATCCTCGTCTCCCACGAAGTAGAAGCGCGGGAAAGAGGTTCTCTCGCGCTCCAGATACTCGCCCAGCGCCTTCTGGATCTTGCCCAGCAAATCGGCCAGACGCTCCAGCGATCTTTGCACCGCGGGAATGTTGAGCACATCCATGACCTTTGGCGATTTGGTGACCTTCTTCATCAGGCCAAGGAACTCGGAGCTGATGCTCTGGAAGCGCGAGGTTTCCACCGGCAAGAGTGTCTTGATGTCGGCGCTGCCCGAGAAGATGCCCTCCAAGTAGACCCAACGTCGCTGCACATCGATCCACACATCGAACAGAGCGTTGATCCTGTTCAGCTTCTCCTCCCAGGTGAGGGCCTCCTCCTCGAAGACCTTGTAGTAGGGCGACAGCTTCATGGCGGCCACCGAGTTGATGTGCTCCTTCACCTTGTTGAACAGATCGTCCCAGCCGCGGATGATGCGGCACTTGTTCTGGTAGTTGATCAGGTCCAGCTCGTAGTTCTGCCACGACTCGCGCACCTGCTTGAGGAACTCCTCCAGTGCCATCTCGCCCTGGGCCACCAGGATGATGTCCTTGACCACGCCCTCGTTCTTCTGCAGATTCACGTCCCACACTTGGCCCAGCGAGAGATCGGAGATGACCCAGTTGACGCGCAGCTGCTTGGTCAGCTGCTTCCAGTGGCGCTCCTTCAGGGCATCCGACTTGAGCTCCACAATCAGCATGTTCACCTTGATGTAGCTCTGGATCAGCTTCTTCACGTACTCGTACGACTCGTACATGCGCAGGCGGGCGGGCAGCTCCTTCAGCTGGGCCATCATGGCCTCCAGCTGCTGGCGCAGCTTGCGTGGCTGCACCGACAGCCAGGGCTTCTCGCGCGTCTCGTCGATTTGGGTCCAGACCTTGGAGAGCTCGCTCCAGACGCCGCGCAGGTCCTGCAACTCCTCGAGGGCCACGTTCATGCGCTCGGCACTGTTGTTCGGCACCGCCGACTCCTGCAGCTCCAGGGCCTCCTTGGCCTTGACCACATTGTCGCGCTCCTCCTTGAGGCGCGAGTACTTGCTCTCGAAGATCTGCAGCTGCTGCAGCGCATCGTCCGGCCGGATCTTGCCGCCCGTGGGCTTGGTCTTCTCCCAGTCGTTGAGGAAGTCCACGGTGCGCGTCTCCACGGCCTTGTCCTCGGCCACGATCTTGGCCTGCAGGCTGGCCACCTGCGTCTGGATGGCCGTGTCCTTGCGCTTGATGATCTCGTTGAAGGCCGACCACTCACCCTCGATGTTGTCCACATGCAGCCAGTTGTTGGGGAACTGGAAGCGTTGACGCTCCAAAATCCGCTGCGCCTCCCTGAACACCTCCACCTGCTTGTCCCAGGCAATCATGTCCTTCTTCAGCGACTGCACGTAGGTGATGAAGCTCACCGCATCCGATGTGCTGGCCGCCTCGATGCTCTGCATCTCCAGGTCGGTGCGCGACTTGGACACCTTGCCGTGGAAGCTGGTCATCTCGGTGCCCAGCAGGGTTCCAAACTTGCCCAGTGCCTCCTTGTGCCACGAATCGTACTTCAGGGTGACCTTGGCCTGCACCTTGGCGTAGTCAATGATGATGGGTCCGTACGCCCGCCGCGTGTCCGACGTGTCGAAGGTGGTGCGCGACTGCTTGATGTCGTTCAAGCACTTGATCCACAAGTTCACATCCTCACCCAACCGGCCGTACAGCATGTCCGCCTGCAGATCCCACAGGCTCTGGTAGCGCAGCCACTCGTCCACGTAGTTGCGCACCTCGCCCACCTTGTGCTCGATGGCTCCGTAGGCGTTCTCCAGCACCTTGCCCTCCGGCAGCTTGGTCAACAGGTTGCGGTACGTCTGCGAGACGGGCTTCTCCAGGCCCACCTGGTAGCGGGTGCTCTGCAGACGCACTTGCGAGGTGACGATCGCCTGCCAGGCGAAGAACTGCTGCATTATCTGGAAGCGGGCTTCCTCGATGGATGGATACAGATACATCTGCTGGTTGGTGATGCGAATCTCGTGCACGGCATTCTGAATCTGCGGCTCTCCGCCCAGCTTGTGCGTGGGCTGGGCCGGCGCATCGGTGTCCATGGAGGTGTCCACCTCCTTTTTGTTGCCGGTCAGGGCCTCCGACCAGGCCTGGATTCCCGCCTGCAAACGGTGGGCCAGCTTCTTCTCCACCTCCTCGTCCAGTCGCGTTACCCACACGCTCAAGTTGGAGTACTGACGCAGCGAGAGGTCGTCCACGGCATGCTGAATCTTGGAAAGAATCTCCACAAACGTGGCGGCACTGTATGGACAAGTCTCCAGCGAGCGCACGTCCACATCCAGCTGTTCCTCCACAACCAGCAAGTCATCGACCTTTTCGGGATTAAAAAAGTATGATTAGAATCTATAAAACTGGTTAATAGTTTAGTAGGAAAGCATTACCTTCTCCTGGAACTGGGTCACACACTCCGACAGGCGTAGAACATAAGGATCCAGCTTGTAGGACTCCCAAATAAGACCGATTCCCTCGGACACCAAGTTTAGGACATCCTTACGCAGTCCTGCCACGAGTGGCACAATGCTAGCACGATCTTCAATCTGTTTAAGATACAATCTTCAGTTAGTTTAAGTCTCAAACACAAATCACATCTAGATACTTTCTTTGGCATGCGGGAGTTGAACAAACTAAACTAGGAAACAAAATAGTGGTTGCAATACACGGATTACGGAGTAAACAAACTTCGAGGGGACAAACGACACTACCTTGAATACTGAATTTTGTGCTAGACTCCTATTATTAAGCTGCATGAAAGAAAGGTTGGTTGGTTGTTCGGTTGGTTTAGTTTAAGAGCGGTTCTCGTGTCTAAGACTAAGGTGATTATGTGGAGTGTTCAAAGTATGGTGGATAGCAAAATTCAAGCTGCACGCCAGGAACAAAGCAATGCAAGAGAATAGAGCAACGGTGACATCTTGTGATGGTGGAACAGTGACAAGTGTGACTTTGTAAAGTGTAAGAGCTGGGCATAGAGGTGTACAACGAAATGTAAGGCTGTTATTAGACAAATTGTCATGGATTACACTCTGTTTTCAATCTTTAAGCCACGTAATCTTTTGCAATTCGTCTAATAACAGCCTTCAAGGAGCGAATCTCACCTTCTCCAAAGTGCGTTCGTAGGTGCGAACACTCTCAATTAGGGAAATAGCATACGGATAAATCTGGTTGGCCTGATGCGCCTTGTTCACAATGGTCAGTGGAACTCTGAAAATATATATTATGTTAATATTTAAACTAAAAAGGGGAATCTAAAGCCATACCTGAATCCCAGATTCTTGATGTTGCGCACCTCCTTCGCCAGCGTGATAATCTCCGGCAGAAAGTTGACCCTCAAACGCAGCACATTACCACGTCCAATGCGAGAACGTGTGGACTCGATGGTAAAGATGCGTCCAGTGCTGCCAAAGTTGCGCTCCTGCACCTTGCGGGCCCAGTCATGGAACACATCCGAGATGGAAAGCTTGGCTCGGAAGCTATCGCCGTCGGCCTTTAGCTTCTGGCCCTCGATGTGCGTCTCCCAGCCCTTGCCGAGCACATCCTCGACGCGCTTCAAGTACATCGTCAGCTGGTTGTCGATCTGGCGGGCCCAGATGATGGAGCCAGCCACCGGCGGCAGATCGCGCACCGAGGACAAGCGACAGCTCTTGCTCAGCGGATACTGCACCTTGAACTTCTCGTGCAGCGCCTCGATGTCGTCCTTTACGCGCTGAATCAGCTGCGTTTGGTACTCCCTAATGGCGCCACGGATGTGCGGACGCACAAAAAGTGCATTGAAGCGCGAGAAGATGCGGAACATCTCGTTGGCATTCTTGGCCGTACCAAGCTGGTCGCGTAGATGCGCCGTGATGCGGGTCTCCACGCGATCTGTGGATGGAAATAACCATTTAATTTTTGTTTATATAAATAGTATATATTATAATTACCAATTTTCTCCTCATATCGCTTGACAGCCGCCTCCCAAGCCTCGGATCCCTCCTTGGTGATGTCCAGGCAGTCCACCTCCTTGACGTTCTCGTAGGCCAGGTTCACCTCTTCGATGGCATTGGCATCGGCAGCATCCAAGCTGTAAGGTTGCTTGGTTTCCGCGGCGTTCACGTCATCGCTAACAGCGGGCTTGTTGGGCCGCAGAACGCGCAGGATGACGGTGCGCAGCTGCTCATGCTGACGGCGGAACTTGCGCATGTGCTCCATGCGGGTCTGCAGCTTCTTGTGAGCCGGCGAGACGCGCCACACCATCTTGAGGTGCTCATCGCGCTTCTTCTTCACAATGTCGCGCAGCAATCCCTGCAGCTTGTCGTACTCATCATCCCAGCAGCTGAATATCTCGAAGCACTGGTTCATCACGCGCTCGAATTCATCAAAAGGGATGTGCATCAGTCGCCGGGTGCCCAGCACCTTGAGCAGCTGCTGCGACAGATCCCGCGAGATGGCCTCGATGAGCTTGAGGCACCGCTGGATGGGGTACTTGGTGTTGCGTACCTTGCGCAGATGCGAGAAGATCTGCTGCACGGCAGGTCGAATCTTCTCCAGCTCAGTGGCGCTGAGCAGATCATTGATCGGGAAATCCTTCATCAAGGGATTGTAATCGGCTACCGTGGCCAGGGCCTGTTTTAAGCCGGTATCCGTGTCAAAAGAAACGGTGGCATGGAAACGCTTTCCATGCTTCAGAATGTCCAAGGTGAGAGCCACCTCTGGCGACTCGCGCTTTTCCTGAATGCGATACAGGGCACGCTCCAGATTCAGCCAGAAGGAGATTTCCTATTCAAAGAAGGGGAGTTCACTTTTGAGTTTCGAATTTTAAAGGTTTTCCTTTGCTTTATCTCACCTGCAAAGCGGTTCCCGAACCGGGATCTCGGTTCAGCTTGGTCACCTTCTTGATCTCGGTGATCCAGCGGTTCACGCCGGTCTGCAGCTGGTTCAGGAAGGAGGAGTCCTCCACCTTGTCGCCAAAGTCGGCCACCTTGGCCTTGCGGTTCTCCTCCGAGCACTTGCGGATCACATTGTTGACGGTCTGGTGGGCCGTCAGCGTGATCTCCGGTATGTCGATGTTCTGCTGCAGGTGCAGCAGCCCCATCTCCAACTCGGCCAACTTCTTCTCCACGGAGGGAGCCATCTTGTCGCCATCGCGATCAGCGCGTCCCGACTCTTTCACGTACGACTTGAAGTAGGGCGCCAGGGACTTGCTGATGAACGCGTGCAGCGTCTCGTAGGGTGATCCGTCCGAGAAGTTGATCAGCCGCAGCTGCGAATGGATGGACTTGTCCGCCTCCACCACCACGCCGCGCTTGATGCAGGCCAGCGAGGCCATCCGGCTGTTGGTAAAGTGGACATCGTTGCTGATCTGGTAGGTTACCTGCTCCTTTTCCTCCTCTCCCTCCGCCGGCTGCTCGGTATCGTCCTCTGGAAAGTGGAAATTGGGGGTAATGATTACAAGTCTATTTAGAGTTGTATAAGATTATTGTGGATATTTAAGGTACACCTATTTTAATTTGGCTAAACAACAGATAATGTATTTGTAAAAACAAATGTTTTGGCAATTTGTTCATATCTTAAAAATCCCAAAATGTATATAATCCCAGAGATAAAGTGTAACTCGTTAAAATGTGTATACTGAGTTACATTTTTTTTTAAAATCAAAAATAACAAAATTAATGAGTCAAGATTTTTAAGAATTATTAAGGGTATAGCTATAGTACTGATAGCATACAAAAACTTAAGACTTTAATCCAGAAAAACGCAATAAAAATAATTACCCATATAACATTGTAAGGACACCTCATTCTCCACCAATCACATAAAGCAACGCATGACTGGCCACACAATTACCCCTCACCCACTTTCCGTGTGGCCCATTTGGCATTGGAGCTCAATGCCACGGCACTGACATAATTTCATTGTCAAGGCGTCGACCTCCGGAAAATCAGCGGCCAAGGGAAAAACCTTCAAAATTCGTGTGCTCAAGGCTGGACCTTGGCGATGTCATTGCTCCCACGCAAATGGCCCCGCTGCCAATGCCAATGCCAAAGCCGATTCCCAGTGCCATTGCCATTTGCCATTGCCATTGGCACTGCCTTCGGTCAATGTCAATGTCGTTGTTGCGTCCCCAAAGTCACCGAGCCAGTGGAAGGTGTGCGCAGCCTCCAAGGTCGTTTCCGTAAACAAAACTTGTTGCTTCACAGCCGGCATCTGTTTTCCGGTTGCAAATTGTTTGTAAACAAAACGAAGCCGGCAAACCGGCAACTCAGCTGTTTGCAGTTATCGCTTAGCCGTTGTTATCGGCATATCGGTATCGGAGTGAGTCAGATGGGCTGACGTCATGCACAAAAACTTGTTTTTATACCCTAGAATGAGGCATGTTGATTTGTTCTGCAGTTTGCCACTAACTTTTTTTGTGATCTAAATATATTGTTCGTACAAACAATCAAATGTTGTATTACAAATTTATTGTTTTACTAGAAAAAGAATTCAATGTTAATCAAACCATTGATATTTTCTGTTCATCTAAATGTTTTAATATCATGGCACTTGTTTTTATGTTAATTTTGAGTTTCAAAACCCTCTTATTTTCAGAATACTAGATAATCTTGTTATCACTTGAAATGTTTTAAACTATAACATCCAATTGGGGACTAATTCTTTCAATTTATTTTTCCCGTTAGAAAATTTTAGGGTATCCGAACTTCGCTCACCGAACCAGAACCTACGTTCTGATTGGAATTCAAACAAAAACATCTGCCGCATTGATTTTTAACAAACTGGTTGCGTATTCAGCTAGCATACCTAATTGTGACTCATTTTAACCATAAGAAACTTTAATTTTCACTTCCCCAACTGCAAAGCGAGCACTTAAGAAGCTTGCCAACTTTTTATCTCTGCCGAAGCGACGCCATTTTGTGCAAATGGCTGCACTTTTTTCACGCAAGTTTTCTCTGCCAACGGGGCATAAATTGTGATCCTACCTTTGATGCAATTACGTTGGACGTAGAGCGCCTGCACCTGGGGATCGGAAAGGAACTTCCGGATGGTGTCCTGGTTGATGGGATCGTCCAGAGCGTTATTCAGCGATGCGGGAACCACATCCTCCTCCGGCAGCAAAATGGTCACCGCCTTGCGAAGGTAGTTGGCAAATGCATCGTAATTCGCAATGGACAGGTTCACGACCGGATCCACCGATGTATCGGGGTTCTCCAGGGAGTCGCCCATGTCCCTCGAATACTTTCGGTTGATAAATACTCCTCAAAATGTGTGCAATTGGATTTTTTCACAATGCCTCGCCCTGTGAAAAATTACGTCTGCTTGTTTTTTTCGCGAAATGCAATGTGAGCCTTGCCACCTAGTGAAAAACAAATTGCAAAAACAAGGAGTTGCCGTAGTGCAGGTTGCCCCAAAAATACAACAGTGGGCGAAGGGCTGCCAGTGGGTCAGAAAGCCTTCCCGCCAAAAATTCTTAGAGCAAATATCAGGCACATAACCGATGTGGCAACTCTTACCGCAAAAACAGCTGTGTAACTGTAGAGTGCATTGGGTTCTTACGATTTTGTTATTTAATAATTGTGAAATGTGCAATTTAATAAATTAAAGTAAGGAAATGCAAGCGCTGAGAAGTACTCGCCCCTGGAGAGGGGCATATTGGAGTAGTTGGCGGCGTCTGCTCACCCAAAGCTGCACGGGAACTGAGGTGAGTAAGCAAATATCGATGAAAATCCATTAAAACTCTCATTAAATTGCAGAACTTGGAGTTAACTAACGATGTTAAGCACCGGATTGAAGCTCACTGGCGGGAGCAGCTCGCGGGAGGGCAGTTCAACCCCCGGGACTCGCAGGACAAGTACTACGTGCTCTCCATGTTCCCCTATCCCTCGGGCAATCTCCACATGGGCCATGTGCGCGTCTACACCATTGCCGATTCGGTGGCTCGTTTCCAGCGGATGTGCGGCAAGAATGTGTTCCAACCCATGGGTTGGGATTCCTTTGGCCTGCCCGCGGAGAATGCCGCCAACCAGCGGGGCGTAGAGCCCGCCTCCTGGACGGAGCAGAACATCGCACAGATGAAGGAGCAACTCAGACGACTGGACTGCTCCTTCGACTGGAACCACGAGCTGTCCACCTGCAGTCCGCAGTACTACAAGTGGACGCAGCACCTGTTCCTCATGCTGCACCGCCATGGGCTGGCCTACCAGAACGAGGCCCTCGTCAACTGGGATCCCGTGGACCAGACGGTGCTGGCCGACGAGCAGGTGGACGCCAATGGCTGCTCCTGGCGCTCGGGGGCCAAAGTGGAGAAGAAACTCCTCAGGCAGTGGTTCATCCGGACGAGTGCCTATGCCAAACAGTTGCTCGATGGCCTGGAGGATCCCACGCTGCGCGATTGGCGCGATATAATCAACCTGCAGCGCCATTGGATCGGAGAATGCGATGGCTATGCCTTCAACCTGCTCACCTCCGCCTCTGGGCTTCTACGGGTGTGGACTGCCCATCCGGAGCACTTGAAGGATCCCCATGCATTCCTTGTCCTGCGCAGCAATCACCACCTGTCGAAGCTCGAGGATGCGGGCAGTCTCACTGCGGAGAATCCCTTTGCGGGCACCACACTTCCCGTGATCTTCGGCGACGAGGTAACCTTCCCGCCAAAGTGCGATGTTTATCTAGCAGCCCCTAGTTTCCGCGGCGAAGACAAGGAGCTGTGGGAGTCGCATGGCCTGGCCTTCACCTCATCCTGCAAGGAGGAAGACGGCGTGAGTCCAGCCAACTGGGAGCTGCTGAGGAAGGAGGTGCTTCAGGCAGCCACTCGCCTCAATGTGGGCGGCTATCGGGTGTCCTCCAAGCTGCAGGATTGGCTGATCTCACGCCAGCGCTACTGGGGCACTCCAATTCCCATTGTGCACTGCGCCAAGTGCGGAGCAGTTCCTGTGCCCGAGGAGCAGCTGCCGGTCTCCCTGCCACCAAAGGATTCCCCCAAAGAAGCCTTCCTCTGCGAGTGCCCCAAGTGCGGGGATAAGGAGGCGCGAAGAGAGACGGATACAATGGACACCTTTGTGGACAGCTCCTGGTACTACCTGCGTTATCTGGATGCCCAGAACTCCGAGCGCATATTCGATCCCGCGCTGGCCAACAAGTTCATGCCCGTGGACCTGTACATCGGCGGTAAAGAGCACGCCGTGCTGCATCTCTACTATGCCCGCTTCATGAACCACTTCCTGCACAGCTGCGGCCTCTCGCCCACCAGCGAACCCTTCTCCCGCCTGCTGGTCCAGGGCATGGTCATGGGACGCTCCTTCCGGGTGAAGGGCAGCGGACGGTATGTGCCCGAAGCGGAAGTGGAAATTGTGAACGCCAAGAAGAACCAGGCAGTGTTGAAGGAAACCAAAGAGCCCGTCGTCATGACCTGGGAGAAGATGTCCAAGTCGAAGCTGAATGGCGTGGAGCCCAGCGATATGTTCAATGAATATGGAACGGACACAACGAGACTGATCATCCTGGCCGATGTGGCGCCCACCTCGCATCGCAACTGGTCCAGTGCAAGTGGGTATTGTTAGCTTTAAGATTATTTAACCTTATTTATATTTTATATATATTGAACAGCATTTCCTGGCATTCTCAACTGGCAAAAGCGTCTTTGGCTGACCCTGCAGGATTTCCAAGAGGCTCGCGAGGATCAAACGCCCTCGGATGTGGTGGCCACCAGCGAGGAGTTTCTGGCCGAGGACGCCAAGCTCTTCGATGCCCGCAACTTTTATGTCAAAGGAGCCACGTTTAACTACCGCCATGCGCATCAACTCAGTGTGGCTATCTCTAAAATGCAGGGATTGACCAATTCCCTTAGGGTTAGTTGTTCAACTGATCGTATTTTCCAATCCTTGCTAAGCGTAATCCTCCACAGCGCACACCTAAGCATGTCCTGCGGCATGGAAAGCAATTTGAGCGGGCTCTGGCTGCCCAGATCATCATGCTGGCGCCCATGGCTCCGCACTTTGCCTCCGAGCTGTGGTCCAAGTTTGTGACCATACCGGGTCGACTGAATCCCGCCAGCCAGGAACTGCAGTGGAGCGAAGACGTGTTGACCCAACGCTGGCCAGACATCGATGCCGCCTACAATCTGGACCTTAGCATCAAAGTAAATGGCTTCGAGAACTGTGTGATCAAAGTGCAGCGAACGCACCTGGACAAGGTGACGCACAGCGATGCCCTGGACATTGCCTTCAACACGGAATCGGTGACGTCGTACCTAATTGACAAGAAAATACGGAACACCAACTTTGTGCTCTATCCGGGCATTGAGGCCATCTTGAACATCCATGTGGACAAGGCGCAGAAGGCACAGAAACCGGCTACCAGCGGTGAGGATGAGGAGGCTCAGCCTAGGGCATAGGACAGTATGGCTAGATTTTTAGTCTTAAAGTATCCTAGGAGTGCATAGAAATCGTTCGATTAGTTTAAGTAATATCTGCCTAAGTCAGATAGTGAAATGGCTTAAAGTACTTGACTTTTAACTTTACACTCCCACGATACTTTAAACTATTTAAAAGTCCAACAAATGAACCCACTTATGGTGCTTAAACCAAACGGATTACGGAGTAATGCATTTCCGGTGTTGGCCAGAAAGACGCCATCCCAGATTGGTAGTTTTGAGTCATGTTTAATGTTAAATATTTATAAAAATTGGACTAGTTGTAAGCAGCTGCTTTACAGGATTGGTAAATGCCTAGGATCGTAGGAATATAATGGTTGCTCTATCTGTGCGCCGCTATCTAAAAGCCAGTACGACTAATTCTCGTTCTCGTTTCTCTTTCTCACATGGGACCACCACCAAACGCACCTCACTTCATCAGTTCGCACATGAGATTCCGCAGGTAGACATCCAACTGGGCGTAATCGAGGAGCGTGTTCCGGACGATGTCGAGCAGCATGCTGGGCCACAGGGTTTCCAGTTTGTGCAGCTTCTCCACGGCGTTGCAAGTGTTCTCCAGCAGCAGGGCAAAGTGCTGGCGACCCCGATCCCGGGCACTGGGCGCCATGGCAGTGCCGGCCGCCTCCGTTGCTGGACTGATGCTCAAGCTGCTCACGGAGGAGGCAGCTCCTGTGCCGGCATTCTTCTTCCACTGGAGCGCCTCTTTGCCCACCACCAGGCGGAGGGATTTGTTGTCCGGCCGCAGGAGCCACTCCTTGGGCGACAGCTTGCTGGCCGTGCAGGTCTCATCCAGACGCAGGCGCGCCAACAGCGGCTGCAGCATCACCTCCGGCATGGACCACAGCACCAGGTCGGAGAGTCCCACGTACATGGCATTGGCCGCCTCCACCTCGGCTTCGCTGACCTCCTGGCCATTTAGCTGTTTCAGTCCCCAGTGGGAGAGCCTGTAGATGGCATAGGCTCGCCAGGATTCCTTCAGCGTTATGCCATTGCCCTCGGAATCGATGAGCAGACTGCTCAGTCCCTGCAGCTCGGCCAGTCCATTGAGTTGGCCCAAACACGAGATGTTCGTCTCCCGGAAAACGTAGTGCTCGGCATGGGGGAATCGCAGCTTGATCCTGCCCAGCACACACACAATGCTGTTGAAGTTGATGTAGCTGAAGTTCAAGGTGTGCACATCATTGGCCTTGGCCGGATTCCACTGCTTGTCGATGAAACGGAGTGCTCCCTGGCCATAGATGTTCAGGTAGCGGCCACAAATCTCGATCAGGTAATCGCCACCCTGCTCTCTTTCCCGTTCAGCGGCACTCGGCTTGGACACCGTGATGGCGGCACTGGGCGTGGCAGCAGCACTTGCTCCACTGGATGTTGCCGATCCTCCTGCTCCTCCGCCTCCTGTTCCTGCAGAGGATTGGTTCGAAGTGGCACTCGTTGCCGCCTTTGTTTGAGTGGCCACCAAAGTCAGGCCATTTTGGGTGGCCTTTCCGCGACCAGTGCTGGTGGAACTGCTGCTGTTGCTGGTGCTGCTGCTCACGGTTTGTGCCCGCACCAGACTGCCAGCCATGTACCGCTTGGAGGAGGCTCCTCCTGCTCCTCCGCGCTGATTGATCTGCAAGCCTAGCTGGGTGATGGGCGCATGTCGGGGACGCTGTTTGCTGCTCGCCGGACGACTTGTGCTCGAGGATGCAGTGGCGGGCAGGGGCAGGGTGGCAGTGGTGGGTGCACCACCCGGAGGAGTGGGTGCACCACCCGGCACCGGAGTTCCAGGAGCAGCGGGCGGCGTCAAGGTCAAGGCGGGCGGAGAAGGTGAGGAGGCCACTGCAGCTGGAGGAGCTGCTGCCTTAGTCACCTCAGGAGATGGACTGGCTGGAGCTGGAGTTGAAGCTGGAACAGGTGAAGCTGGTGGCTTCTCTGCCACACCCACTTTATTGCAGTTTTCATCGATCTGCGTCGTTTGTGGTTTACTATTTTTAGCTGCGACCTCGTCATTATCGGAGCTGTAGCAACTGGAGCAGGAGTCCACATTGGGTCCCAGGCTGGAGGCCTCCGAGGAGACGTCATCCTCCACCAGGGGGTTCCTCAAATTCCTCGCTATCGGCGGCAGTTTGATCAGTGCCTGCAGCTCGTCCATCAGTTCCTTGGGCTGCTGTTGCGACTCCTCGGACTCGGTTTCCGCCTCCTCGGCCGTTGGACCCTCATTGGACTCATTGATCTTGGCCAGCTCGCTGGTCAGCCGGCTCTTGGGACGACCCGCCACTGTCTGCTGCGAACGCAGTAGCTCCCAGTTCGTCCTCGCATTGGATATCACCTCTTCGCGACGGATGCTGCGATAGGCTTCCGAGCTGCCAGGAGCAGCTTGGGCCTGCTCCTTGTGCTGGCGCCAGGCCAGAGCCGCCCGACGCACTTGCTCCGTGATGGGCATTTGACTGAGGGTCTGCAGCAGTGGCAGATACGAAACCAGGAAGGATACACAATCTCCTGCGAGGGAGACAGGATTATTTTCGATGGTGACTTCCAGGAGCCGGTTGGCCCGAGCTATACTGGCCATATCATCCACGCGATGCAGTTCGTTGTGGCACAGCCAAAGCCGCTCCAGCGAAACCAAATGCTGGAAGCCATTGATCCGCCGCAGCTTGTTCCTTTTGAGATTCAGTTCCCGGAGACAACGAAGTCCCAGGAAATCCTGCTGGTTTATCTGACGTATTTGATTCCCCGCCAGATTCAGCGACTTGAGTTGCTGCAGGCAATTGATGCGGCTGCCCAAACTGGTGAGCTTGTTGCCATGCAGATCCAGCACCCTCAGGGAATCCTTTAGAGAAGATAACCCTCCAATGTCCGTGATCCGGTTCTTACCCAGCAGGAGCACTGACAGCGAGGGCAGTCCATCCAGATTGGCTATCCTCTCGATCTGATTGTCGTACAGATCCAGGAAGACCAGCTGCTGGAAGATGCTGCCGTAGCTGGCGCTCAAACTCAACTGCTTGTTCTTGATGCTCAGCTGCTCCAGCGCGGAACTGGTGGTCATCACACTGGGCGAATCCTCCTCCTCGCCACATCCGCCGCACAGCGAGAGATTGCTGCTGTGCAGGGCACTGCCCTCGTCGCAGCTCTGGAGGAGATTGCCGGCCGCTCCGCCGGCCACTCCCCTGGTGGCCTTCAGCAATGCCCGCCTCTGGATGAGCTGTTGCTGGTGCTTCATCGCCTGCAGGCTGCTGCTCACGAAGCTCTTCGATTTCTCCAGTCCATAGCGCATGCGCAGCGCCGGCGGAGGCGTCAGCTGTGCCTGCCCATAGTTGTAGCCCCTTTTGGCTTGGAGCTTGGAGCGCCCGGCGGCTCCTCCTCCATTGATGGCCAGTGCCTGGGTGGTCAGTGGACTACCCGAACCAGGACTTCCTCCGGATTTCGGCGACAGGCGATGGGAATTGCCGCCTGCATTGGTCATGGCACGGGTGAGTCTGCCGGGATGGTGGCCACGCAGGCCAGAGCGTCCTCCTTCCTTTAATCCATTGCCGTTGTTGTAGTCTGCAAGGGCGATAAATTATATTAATTGTTAGCCTAAAAATCGAATTTTAGGTGGCGCCCTCTGTCGGACTGCAGGAGCACCTCGTAATTTTAAATATTCCTTAAAGTCACTTTTTGCTATAAGTTCTAAAATACTGGTTAACTGTTAACTACAATATAATCTTAATTTAACAATTTCAGGATACAAACCACCCAGCTTATTGTTGTTGCTCTCCCGCGTCGTCGAAATCGGAGGAGGAGGCACTGTCACTGGCACTGGCGGTGGCGGCGGAGGCGGTGGCAGCTCCTTGGGTATGTGGAAGGTGTTGATCAGGTTGTGCTGCAGCGACAGCAGCCGAAGATTGGGTTCCTGTTCGAAGATGGGAATGGCGGTCAAACCCCTCTTGTCGTAGTTGATGCGATCGGGCAACTCCTCGCGTTCCTTGGGCAATCTCTGAATCCGGCAGATGCCATTTGGTTGCGGTGTGACGATGGCTCCACTGACCAGCGTTCCACCAGCACTGCCCACCAAAGTGTTTGGAGTTACGGCCGCCGTGGCGGGACGACAACTATTGGAAGCCGCCGAGGAGGAGGTGGACTTCGATCTCTGCCGTTGGATGCCCACGCCACGTGGTAGATTGCGCTGTTGCTGTTGTTGCTGCTGCTGCTGGCGGATTTGGGCAGCGGCGGCATAGCTCCGCTTGAGTTGTTGCTGCTGGCCAACTTGCAACTCCGATTGTTGTTGCTGCTGGAGTTGCTGCTGCTGCTGGAGTTGCTGCTGCACGGGTCGCTTGGGGATGACATTGTGGCTTAAGGTGCTATGGGAGCGACCAATAGGACGCCGGCGTAGTCTTTGATTAAAACTAGGAACGAACGGTTCGATTTTCAGCAAAGATGTTTGAGGTAAGTAGTTCTGTTGTTGTTGTTGTTGTTGTTGTAGTTGGGGTTGCGGCGAAGGATTCGCAAGAGCTGGAGCAGGAGCTGGACAGGATGCCTCCGGCATTGGTGTTTCATCGTTGAGTACGGAGCGACTGCGGCATTTGGCCATGGAGATCAGCTGGCGGCGCCTGGCATGAGTTGCCGCCGCCGTCGCCGGTGTCGCCCTTGGTGGCACTTGTCCTTGCAACGGCACTTGGACTGGCACCTGTACTGCCACCTGGCCCTGTCCCAGCACCTGCCCCACCTCTACCTGCCCCTGACCCTGGCCCGTTGCCGTGCGTGTGGCACCTTCCACCTTCGAGTTTCATAATAGTTCGATGCGGGCAAGCGACTCCTGGAGAGCTTCGGACATGGTTATGGGGATTAAGGATGATCTCTGGTGAATCCTCTACTTTCCTTGCATAATATGCAGTCTTAGAAGAGCCTAAAAAAGGGTATTTTGTATGATAAGTATATATTTAGCCAATAGCAACTTAATGCCTAAGCAGGTTGTATTTAACAAAACACAAAGAAAACAATCAATAAAAACACAACACAACATAGCTTAACAAAAGGTTTATAAGATATAAAATATGAATTTAGTTCTACCTTATAAATTGAGATTAGTAGTTTATTAACCTAAACAAAAATATAGAAAAAAAACGTCACTTTTTTGGTTTATTTAACCTATTTTTGTTTGCTTTCTTAAAATCAAAATAGACAAACTATTACAATTGCTCCACTTTTAATTGATGAGGCAAATCTTTCAATCACCACTATTACCTCTTGATAAAATTCCAAAATATTTCGGTACCTACTGAGAATCACAGGAGCATAAACCCCTGATTCTCACATTTAATCCTCTGAGGTATATTCATTTTGAGAACTTTAAAATCGAAAAATATCACTTTTTAATTACAACAGCCAGGCTGTAATTGAAATTCGCTCACCCAGTTTTATGGTAAATCCCCGAATGTTCGAATAACCAGTCCTGGTTATCTAATTTGCAACTGCATTCAGCTCCCTGGTCGTCGGATTATGGATTAGTTTGGTTCTTTTTGGGGACACACAAATAGATACAGTGGGTGTGCGGCGAATGGAATTGGGAGCGACTGCTCCACTTGAGCTGCTTTTCCCTTCAGTTCTCGACGTTGATTTTTGGTGATTTAGTTTTTGTTTTTTTTTTTATTCAGTTGTTTGGTGTTCAGTCTCTTGGGGTATATGTATAGATAGTTGTATAGATAGGACAAGTATGGTATTTGTGTGTGCTCCTCGAGTGTTTTGTTGGTCGCCTCCGTGGCAGCTCTGAGCCAGGATTCGTGGACTCGCTGGCTCGGGCATGTGGGCCCGTTTTATTAGTTTGTTTATTCGGGTTATACATCCACGATTTTGGCTTGGCGCGGTTGCCATAGAATATGGTGTATATGCGGTGCATTTCGAAGACAGTTGCCGTTCCTATTCCGCTCGCGCGCTCTCTCTCTCGCTCGCACCCCCTTGATTTCAGCTATTAGTTTGTTTATTTAAAGCTCTCTTTTGGGCCAATTGGAGGCCCGAACAGCCTGGCCGCCGACCGCCGACCCACCTGGCCAACTGACAAAGCCAACTGACTGACAGTCGGAAAGGTGGAGCGACAGGCGGGCAGACAACCAGCAGACCGACCCATTCGGCTTGTTGCTGCCACGACTGGCGCTTCTAAACATACCAAAACATTGGATTTCTGGGAACAGAGATACGGTACACCGAACATGGAGGGGTCTATTAAAATTAGGACTAATCATAACTAACTTGTATTCATTTCCGATATAAGTTGCTTTTTAAATGAGGAACAAGTTTGTAATAACTATGTGATATTAAAAGAATTTCTTTGCTATGACCTAGTGTCATTAAATTCCCTTTTTAAGTTGGAAGTTCTAAAATTACTTCTTGATGTTACAGAAATCCTTTGAGCTATAACATACAAACCCTACCGAAACCACCTACGAGAATGATTACCCCGAAACTCTATAACTTTTGAGATTTTTATAGGCTTTTGAAGCCATTTTTTAAAACCATTGCTATATAGAAAGCTTTATGAATACTTAATACTCTAAGTCAAACTTTAACCTAAATATACACCAAGCAATAACAATAATAAATTCAGTAGGTATTGTCTTAAAAATAATCCATCTACTAGCCCAACTGAGTACGATAGCATTATCTTTTGTAGTTTAGTTGCTAATCCGATGCGTTTAATTTGTTCCGTTATTGTGCTATTCTAATAGTAGAAATTTCATTTTAAAATTTTCCTAAGTAATTTAATATTTTATTCTTATCTTGTTCAACAGTTTGAATTATTGTAGCAATAGTTTATTTCTTTTATTTTATTTATACTTTTTTGTGTAGTAATTTGTGAATTGTGGACTAATACACCAAATATATTCGCAGAATCCTGAATTGTTGACTGAACAAAAACCATTCCCTTTAAGAGCTGATCATATAAACCTGAAAAATCGCTTAAAGCTTTGACCCATACATTGGTTTGGCCGCAGCCTTTGTAATTTCCTTTCGTGGTCTCGGCCAGACTTTTACAAGTTTTCATCGGCTAGCGCCCTCAGCATTCACCTTGGCCGTGTGCAATTGGAGGGAAAGTCGTTTGCATTAAAAACCCATTTCGTGGCTTTTCATACCTGCTGCTGTTGTTGTTGTTGTTGCTGTTGTTGTTGCTGTTTTTACTGCTGTGGCTGGCTGGCTTTGTTGTTGGTGGTGGAAACTGTTTTGATTTGCGTATGGCCCCAACTATCAGGCGGAGACAGTGGGGCGGAGCGCAAGAAACACGCACATAATTGCCTGCCATCGTAATGGATTCACGTGCCTGCTGAGTTGCTCTCGTTGTTCTTGCCGTAATGTTGTTGCGAAATATGCAAAAGTAAAGCGCCAACCGCATGCAAGACAGACAGAGAAAGAAACAGGAAACACTCGAAGAAAATAGGTCCTAGGTTTAAAAAAATGTATGAACTATAAATATTAAAAAGTTCGATGGCTATTACCCTTTAATGTTGGAAAGTTCAAATAAAAACTTTAAAATTGGATCCATAAAAGATACATTTTACAAAATTAAATGCCTTTTTTAAGCACTTTAAAAATATTTTCACAAATATAATATGTTTAAAAAAAATCTTCAAGTTAAAATAACTTGTTTCCAAATGTCTTATGATTCTAAAAGGTACCAATTCTATTTTGACTAGGGTTAAATTATAAGTGAAGTATTTTTTGGATAACATTTTTAAGAATTATTGTCCCCAAACTTAAAAAATTAGGTAAACGCTCTGAAAAAAATTATAATTTACGAATAAATATTAAACAAAAATATTTTCTTTCAGGCAATATTTTTGTGAGTGGACACACACCTAAGCAATTAAGGAGCAAAAGAGAGAGACGCAAACGAGGGATATTCGTCGCCTGGCAAATTGCCTGCTGGCAGGTCGGTGCTAGTGTCAGTGGCAATGCGAGTGCGAAAGAGACGGGGAATTCAATCGAAGACACTGCAACAATTCGAGTTTAATTGATGCCAGTCGGCGGCACCAGCAAAAATCGGAGAGTGTGCGTGCACTGGCATTTATGAGCTGAGCTGAGCTCCGCCGGAAAGAAAGGCTCCTTTTGCCACCTGGCGACCGGACAATAACTGAGCCGTTGATTGGCACTGAGGCCAGGTGCAAGAGCTTCTTTCTGTCCTCCTCTTCAGTGCGCCCCCTCCCCGATTTTCACCTGCCTTCGCACTCGATTCCAGCTAGCCTCGTCGGCGGGCATTGAACTTTTTCCCAGGAGGCAACAAGTGACGGTGAACTTTTCACGGAAAATGGATGGAAAATCTTTTGGAAATGCAGGTATTTAAAGTTTGCAAAGACCTATACAAAGATAAAAATGTAACATTTTCAAACCTATATTTATTCCGTCTCTTTAAAAAATTATGTAATAATATTTAATAGGAAAGTTTAAATGGCCCTTTTAAGCCTATTATGAATTTTATATACATTTTGTATTAGCTTTAAAGAGAAACTTTGGATAAATAATATTATCTTAGTTTCTTAACTAAAGCTAAAAATCAAACATCATACATATAATTAAGCATACGACTTGTTGGCCAAAGCTAGTAAATTAATATTAATTACTCATTCGACCCGAGGACCGAGTGAAACTAGTTTAAATCCAATTTTCTGAAAATTCGGAATCTTAATCGGTACTTAATCATAATTGAAGCTGCCAATGAAGTTAACTATTCTATTATCCCTGCCATTACTCTGGAAATTAAGCAGCGATTAACAAGCCATAATTGCTGATCGCCTGGAATCTCTGTCTTTCGGTTGAATCCTTTTGCTGGGCTTATCAAAGCTGTTGCATGCTGCGATTTCTGTTGCACTCTGGGCTTTGTTTACGGTGATGTCCTCCTGTCCGTCCCGCTGTGCTGACTGTTAACCCGAGCGCTATTTACCGACGCTGCGGTGGCTGATTCTGCTGCTATTTGTGCCGCTGCCAATGCCGCTTCCACTGTCATTGACATCCTTGTGGGCCATTAATTTTGCAAGCTTTCACGTGGCGAAAATGGAAAATGTCCCCGCTCACTGTTCCGCCACTTTTCTAGATAAAGAGTGCAGTGGGAATCGGTCGGGGATCGGGCGGGGATCGGGGTTGAGCTCGATAGCGCAGCATTCAACCTTTGGCCTTCTCTTTGTCTCTGCGTCAAGGTTTTGCAACAATTTCACTCTTGTTTTCACTAAGTTACACTGGAAAATAAATCTGTATAAGAAATAATCTACATTAATTTCCTGAATGGTACCTAGAATGTTAAAAACATAATAACTATATTATTTATCTGAATTGAACTGTTTGATTCAATTAAATTAGCTAACTATTAAATAGACCCGGGAAAAAGCTTTAGTTTTATAATTAGATTATAATTTAGGAACAATTACAAAAGTATTTAATTGCAATTATTTTCAATTGCTTTCCTTTGAGTGCATTGTTGCACTTGTGCTCATTATCGCGATTGTTGCTGCTGTCGCTGTGCGGTGGCTGTTGTTATTTACTTTTTAATAATTACAGCGCTCCACTGCAATTGTCCCTGACCACAGGCTGAATGGGTGAGCCGGAGAGACAGCTGGAGAGACAGGGACAGGGACAAAGTCGGAGACAAGGAGAGCGACAGGGACAGGACACGGGCGGACAGATAGCCAGTCGAGTTGATAAATGGCGCGCACAACGCTGAGACAAAGAATGCCAGCTTACGAACTGGACTGACACCCGCACAGAAACAGACACCTCGCTTATTAGGTACAATGGGAGTCGTAATAGTAACATTCATTTAATCGAACAATACCTTTTAATAATATAGGATAAACAGTGCTCTTTTAGGGATGTTCCTTGATCTTAAAAAAAAAAAAACATCAAATTTTATTTAGACTTTTTGCCGGTTTAAGAAAGTCTTAAAATAAATATTGTGTAATCTTTGATAAATTAGACTATTTCATGTCATGTTTTAAGCAATATGATAAAACAATTTTGGGGTTCTCGGGGTTTTTTAATATTTTGACCACCACCGTGGGTCGTAAGCTTTTGGCGCCCCTGCCAACTGCCCACCGCTTTCCTTCGCCGCCCCGTTAACCTTTCCATTTTCCCAGCGATGGACGAGCAATTTAATCAGTCTGCAGAGCGCAGAAAAGCTGATAATACCGTTATGAATAATTTACCCACATACACACACATTCGACTGCGGGTAGTGAAACGCGTTTTATTATTGTTTCTTTTGCTGTCTTTTCTGGTTTTATTTATAATTAATCATGAAGCGCCAGCGAAGAGTGCAAAAATATCAAATAAAGGCACTTGTTGTTTACACTTTTGCTTTCGAACCTTTAAGGAATCTGCGTGTGAAATCGTTTTAATTAGGTGCGGTAACTTGTTGCGGCTGACCAGCGGAAAATCCAATTTAGAAGAGGGGAATCCTCCGAATGTCGCGTTCAGTTGGAATTCCCGCTGAGCCTGTTCGCTCTCCGTCAAAATCAACCGCCACCGCAAATATCATGAATGCAAGATGCCTGTGGTGTGGGCTAATATTGAAATGTAGCCATGATACACGACCGCAGCAAATGAAATAACCAGAAATGACAATTTCGGCTCTCAGAAATGGAAATATTACTAAAATGCCTATAAAAATTGAATAATTTATTCTCATTTAAAGAAAAGTCGGGATAAAGTAAGACAACTTTGCAACAAAAGAATTATTTTAATTTTATAACAACAAGATTTAATGGTCAAAATATGCAATACATATAACACATAACACATTTAATTCTTAGATAGATAATGAGTAATTTTATTTTTTGATAAGGCAAGTCGTCTGTTCTTTCTCAAAGGAAACTTGGCAATAAGCTAAATCTTAAAGATAAGTGTTTGTGAAAAACTGTTAGCAAGAAATCTATTACTTAACTATAAGATGACTTATCAGTGTCAGGATAATGCAATTCTTAACGCAGTCTTTTATAAACATCTTCGTCTTTCTTTGTTTTTTTTTATAAATACTATAGATTTTAACACACATTCATTTCTTAAGAAGTTCAAATTAGATGATTAACTGAGTTTAGTTAATGTATTCAATTTTATTTAACAAGTTTTATTTATTTTTGTATTATAAAAGCTGAAAATGTTTATTTTAATGGCAGATTCCAGTTACAAAATCATCTTTATATATTTTTTTGTTCACATTTAATTCGGACTAGTTGTACTCGTAGAGTGCCATTTAAACAGCTGGATGGATTTCCTTTGAGCGTTCAGCTCGTTTCCTGCTGCTCCGCCTGGAGAACCACAGCATTTTCGACCTCCTTTGAGCTGTGACCATGTCGGATTCCAGCTGGATGCAGCCCCTCCCGCCAGACACCTTCACCAACTCCTCCTCCAGCTCCCGCTCACTGGCATTGAGTATTTGTGCGACGTGGGCCTCGTCGATTGTGCCCTTGAAGATGAGGGGATAGGGCCACTCGTGGCATATCGTGGGTCCACTGTAGTCCCTCAGAGTCTCGATCATCCTGTCCAGACGCAACATCTCTTCGTGGTCATCGTTGAATTCCCGCACCTCATCCAGGAGAGCCGCTACATCGGACTCGAGCACCTGCGAGATGTGGGTTGAAATTGGATTAACTGAAAATCGCTTATTTTGCTCGATTTGCATTGCGGTATCCGATGACACTGTCAACGGCAGTGACGGCGTTACGGTCACTGATAGCCTTACTTTCCTTCTGGCTGAGCCATCCCCCAGCCCCGCCCCGTTCACGCCCTTCATTTGGCGATGTGGGCTCGGATTTCAGCTACCATATCTTTTCATGGGCCTCGTCACTACCGTCTCTATTAGTGCCCAATTAGCAAAGCCTCGCAGCCAGGCCAACTAAGCTCATGTTTGGTGCATGTTTCGAAAGGGTGGACCCAACCTCATACACCCACTAGCAGATAAATAGTTCTTAAAATGCAAAAACCTTTATACAGATATATATGTTGTTCTTTGAAGCTGTGGAAAATATTTGTGTATTTAATTTAAATGTTTTATTAAGGGCAAAGCAACAATAACAAATTTATGGTCTAGACAATTTCTTATTTGATTAAAAAAAATGTAAAAAGGATTATTAGACCAAATGTTTTTTTTACTTACAATTATTTTGTGGACTGTATTTTGATAATTGTTTATCAGTACTAAATTAATATTTTAGGCGGAAATGGTTCATTGGCTTCTATTAATTTTCCCATGATTGTGCTATACATTGCGGACCCGTTCGTTCGCCAATGGCCGAACCGACATCGTCTAATTAGTAGCGCAAGTAATCACTGCAAACCCCTGTACCCCTCTAGACCCCCCTCAACCCCCTGACCAGCACAACATTCTAACATTTCGTTCCCAATAACTGGCTATAATTGCATTAACATGTTCCAAATCGCTGCCGCAGCTGTTAACAGAGTTGCCGGGCGCAAAATGTTAAACAACAGGTGATAGCAGGTGCAACGGGAAGGGAAATAACGAAAACAAAAGTGGGGCAGAGGAAATACGCAGGGGCTAAAAGGGGTTAATTGATACAATCGGTTGACAATGCACAAAAGTGTTAACAGCAAGAACTTTTGTAATGGAGAGAAAAAAGGCTGAAACGCCATGAAAACCATAGATATCTAAACCATTAAAAATCCTAAAATATTGCGTATTCGTCTAGTTGTACATATTCTTTAAAGCTTCTATTTAAAGTATCCATTTGAATGGGGGTAACATTAAATAAAAATTAGTGATATATAAAAATAAACTTTAAGAAATGGTTTTCAATGTAAAAGATATTACCTAGAAAATGTTTGGAGCTAGGTAAAAATGGGACTCAGTGTGGGTTGCCACTTTAGAAATTGTAGAAATTTTGTAAAAATTTTTAGAATAAATATTAATAATAAAGAGAACAAACATTTAAGGTACACCGAGTATAAAAACTTTATAACTCATTTACTGAATGTCTGTTTTTAGAGTAAGAGCTCTTAAGGGCATATACAGAAAGTGTGAAATCCATGATAACATGTTGTAAGAGAAGGGGAGATAACAGAAGAGGCACAAAGGCCAGATAAGGAGGAAAGTATATAGACCGAGGGGGTTGAATATATAGCGCTTTTGGCCCATTGACAATGTGGGTGAGTGTGCAGCACTTTCGGTCAAACAACATATGCAAACAAGTGTCACTCTGTGGCCGCATGTGTGGTAAAAACGATTTGGATGGAGAGGGTCCAGAACCAAAGGGAAGGGGTTCTCTGTTCAATTACCAAAAACTCAATATGCAGATTAATAACACATTTCAGCACTTGACGAACACGACCGCGCAAACTTTCAACGCTGCTCAGCAGTTGACGTCGCCGCTGCACCGCCGCACTAATTGGCTCCGTCATCGCGGCATCTGTGATGCCCTGAATATTTTATTTCACTTTATTGCCCCACCGCCGGCGACACTTGACCAATTTTCGGTTCGTTTTCGGACTTTTACATAGCTCTAATTTGTGTTAATTTTTTTTTTTACTTTTTTTTTTGATTTTTGTTTTTTCGTCTTTGTTTTGTTCTATTTCTGCGGCAGCTGGAATTCCGCTCGCGAACAGCGCTCGTCGTTGACTGAGGCCTCTTCTTTCAATGAAAAAATTGTTTACGTGCGTCAATCAACCGGGCACTTGAGTGTGTTGCTGTGAGTGTGTATAAGCACACACTCACCCACCCACACACACACTCAAAGCAGAGAACAAAGAACCAAATGAGAACATTAGTCCAAGCGTAGCGCTCTTTATCACTGCGTTTTTCAGGGGACATCGTAAAATATACAACGCTTTTTTATCAAGCGTACAATTTCTGTCACATGTCTTCCGTTTGTTTCGATTGTGAAAAGGTATGATTTTTAAAAAAAATACTTTTAAATCACATGATTCCGCACTTCCATATTTCCTTTTTTTAAAGCTGATTTTTAATTTTTAACATTTTGTTTTGATAGGATTTTTAATATAATTTGTGTATGGGTCAGGCAAGCCAAAAAAGAAATCGATTTACCATCTGAACTAACTTATAGCATACAGAAAATTCTTTGAATTTTAATTGATGATTGTATAATGTATCTAATGCTGTTTTTAGTACATTTTTTTGACGGAGCTAAGGATTGAAATGTTGCAAAATCTCCGAAAAATATTGGAATTCATAAAAAGGGGCTCATATTTTAAAAGCACCCTAAAAACTGGCAGTGATATTGCTAGTACACTCGGGTATCAAATTTTTCTCCATACTCAACCTGGTAGCATGCAGCATTTCCCTGCTTTTCCATGCAGCCCATAAGTATACAACAGTTTTCCGTATTCATATGCAAGCCACAATGATTTTAGAGCTGCTCGTTGACTTGGCTTTAATCGTGCTATTGTTTGGCTCATCCTCAACCTCAACCTCATCCACATCCCCACCCTCAACCCATTCCGCTGAAAGCCAAACAAGCATCAGCTGCTAGCCATTAAAATTTTAATTTTGTGCACCATTTGCCACCATCTTGGCCCACTGGGCACCGATCCCATCGCAATCGCCCATTGCCATAGCAATCCCGTTCAAAGCCCTTGGCTTGAGCGATTATGTTGATGGCCAAGCCGAGGCTGCTTACCTGCAGGGCCACGCCCCCTTCGCCTCCGCTCCACCGCTCCACCGCTCCCACGCCCACTTGTCGATAATACGCTCAATTCAATTTGCATATTCAGTTGTCCAATGAAGCGCACACCACACAGGAGCGTTGCGATCCACCGTCCTTCCAGCAACCAGCTTCCAATTCAATCCCGGGCATCCAATCCCCATCCATCCGCCCGGTGGCACGTCCAAGCAAATGGTCTTTTTCTGAGCCATCCAGGTTGTTGGCCACTTGAAAGCAGCCAAAATGTGCCGCTGACAGCAGCGCACGCATGAGCTGCACGAACAGCTCCAGAACAGCTCGCACACTGCGATAAAATGTGGCCGAAAAAATATGTGAAAAAAATTCGTCACTATTAAATATATTTGTGGATCTTATAAATTTAGTAATCAAGTTGAGAAACCTTCACTTGATTAGGATTAGTTTTGAATTAAATAAAAAATACTTAACAATAAAGAACGTACTGTGATCAAAACCTAAAGCATTTATTATTTTTAGTAGCTTAGACAGTGGCATAAGAATATTGTCATAAAAAATTTAACATTTGCATTGCTAGTAATAAAATATCTTTTTTTCTTTTTTTAAATAATCGAGACTCGATGAGCAATATTTCAACTTCGATATAATATAACAATTTTTATTGTTGTTATCCGTGATTTTGTCAAATTTAATGTGCACTGTACTTCGAGCTGCTGCTCCTTGAATCCTTCTAGCGTGGATTCGTCCTCACCTGCTGTTAGTCCATTACGTTAGCAATTTAACTTGCGCCACGTAAACATGATTATCATCTTAAGTGCAGTGTGTGTGGGCGGTGCAGTGTGCAGTGTGCACTGTGCGTGCAGCGGGTGGGAAAAACTTCGCTGCCAGCTGCGGATTGTAAGCTCGTTGGCTCGCTGTTTAACAAGTTTCAATCTGCTTAAAACTGCAATTAATTTAACGGTTTCTTTTTTGCCCCATTATGGCCGAAAACATTTCTTTGGAGCACCACCACCACCACCAAATCCGCATCCCAATCCGGATTTCAATCCGGTTAGAGTGCTGCTGTTGCTGCCCTAATTGAGCTTGTCAAAATCAGGCAGCAAAGTGAGCGAGTTTTTGGCCAGGACACCCGTGACGGATCCAGCTCCCAGGCGGCACAGGCGGCCAGGTGTTCCGGCCTGGACTCAGATTCAGGACTCGGTTTTGACTCCTTGTCACCAGCAGGTGGTGGTTGCTGGTGTCCAATGCTGGTGCTGATCCTGATGAAGCAGATTGCAGCAGTCGCCCATACTACTTTATATGTCACTCGCTGGCGTTGTGAGAAAATTGCAACAGCCGCTTGATTAATTTTGGGGCGGGGCCAAGATAAAATTTGTGGGCGTGGCTGAAACGCAACACCATTTTAAGATCCAGCTATAATGGGTGTTTAAAGGGTGTGGATTTATAAAGGGTGTATTGGGCTACATGGAAGGTTTGAATTAATATTTCAGCCCTCTACTTATTTTAATTGGATTAAAAACTTATTTTATATACTTAAAATATTTGCTGATTTTTGTTTAATTCATATTAACAGGACTTAATTTTATTTTAAACTATTAACGTAAGCCAAATTGCACCTGATGTATTGTAGTTTTTTGTTAATATTTAAAATATTTTACCTTAAAGCTTAGAGTTTGTTTTTTTAATCTGTCAAATATATCCCCTTAAGAGTCTTTTGTATCCGAAATTTGTTTTTTTAGCTACCTTTTTTTTTCTATTTAATAATTAATATTATATTTTAAATGCCAGCCAAAACTAATCATTAAATGGGTTGTTTCACAAATATTTCTAAAAATATATTTTGATATTTAACCAGGGTATTCCAGGGTACTCAAAAAACCCATTATTTTCATTCGTTTTTTATCACTCTCACTTGTTTTTATCGCCTGACAGGGTAAATACGAGCCAGCAAAAACAAGGACCAACGGCAAAGAGTCCATCAGACAGACTGTGAAAAAAGGAGAAAGCTCACTCACGACTACAACTGCATTTATGCAAATATTAATATAGATATACTCGCACACACACACACACACACATACACTGTCAGGGACAGACAGACAGAAAGAGAGGGCATCACAAAGTACCGTTGACAAACCCATTATCAGGAAAACAAACCGGAGATTAACTTGGCAAAATGTCTGCAGACGTCAAAAAAACACGGAGTGGCCAGCGAGTGCGAGCGAGAGGGCAGCAATAGGATAACCACCAGATGCTGAATAAAATATGAGCACACACACACACAGTTGGAAAAGGAGTAAGCGAGACGGCGAGACGGCGACAGAATGTAGACACACGCATTTGGTCCTGCAAAAGTCCTGGAAAAGTGACACATGAGCGTAATAACAGCTAAGACCTTGCTAAGCATCCGGCAGTCAACAACCACTTGCTGGATGCCCATCCTCATCCACATCCTCATCCTCGTCCTCGTCCTGGTTCTGGTTCCCGTGTCCTGGTCGAGCAACCCCTTCCTGGTTTTTGGGACGTCGCTGCACTCAGCATGATTACAAATTATAACGTCTGAGCAATTCTGCCACTGTGTGAGTGTGTGTGCATAAAGGGGCGGTCCCGGTTACCGCCCATAGGAAATATAACTCTGCAAATTTAGCCAGCCCAACTTTACTGAGGGAAAAAGGATAAGGGAGTTGCTGGAAAAATAAGGTAAGGGATCTTAAAAAAAAGATTTAACATCTTTATTTTATACTTTATATACTTATTAATTAAAGCAATTTATTTATTATTATATTTTGCTTGATTACTTTGGCACATCTTAAAAAGGATTTTAAGACTTAGGAATGTCAACATTTTTCTTTTTAAAAATTGCGTATTTAAGTTAGATTTTTTTCGCGAATATACTGTCAATATTTAAAATATTTTTTTTTAGGTTTTAAAACAGTTCTATAAATCAAAATCGTTTTGTTTCATTTGTTTAACATATAAAAACATTTAAGAATTGAAAATTTAATTTACCAATAAAGGATCCAAATGCTTTAATAATTCATTAAGATTGTGTTGAGTTCACATAAGCTACCAAAGTGGCTTACAAAACAAATATCTTCTTGTAAAAGTTTGATTCTAAAAACTATTTATAAAAATTCTTTTGTTTTGGTTAATAGTTTGTTAACTAGCCTAAAATTGAAATTGGGTAAAATGACATTCATTTGTATAAGAAATTACGGCTTAGGCTTGAACAATTTTTCATTGATTTGAAATCACTTGAAATAAGTTCTAAGGAATGAGCAGATTGTTTTTCAGAAAAGTAAAATTATTGTTTTGTTTTTTTTAGGTACATTTTTAAGTTGACTTTAGGTTTTTCAAGTGTAACTCGATGTTGCCGCCGGCTGCGTTTTAGGTTTGGGGTTGGGTGTTGAGCGGTGGCTGGCAAACGGTTAACGAATTTGTTGCACGCACCGCTCGACAGAATCCGTTCCGTCCTTCGTCCTTCATCCTTCGCTATATGCCTACTGGTGGTTGGCCAGACAGGATGCTAACCTTGCCCCTGGTTGGTCCTGCCATCCCCTGCTCCTGCTCCTGCTCCGATCCTTCATCGTGCATCCTTCATCCCCGGCAGGCAGCCGCATCCGCTTTCCCCGGGCCTCTGCTTAGATAATTCCGTTAGCTTGCAGTGTTTTCGTTGTTGTCCTAATAACTTAATTATGCATTTGCCAGCAAAGTGCTCTAAGCGATTTTTTTGTGCATTTGTGCAGCATTTAAAATGGCGTCTGCGCCACCGGAAAGGAGAACTGTGGAGGTGGAAAATTGGGGTCACATGGGTCATCCGACTGGCGGCGGCTTTCAACTTTAAGCCCCAGAGTCCGCTACGAATTGGGGGCGGAAGTCAAGGTGAACAAGTGTTCATGGTGTGTTACTAAAATCTCTAGAGCTTTTTAAACAATGGCTTAATTGTGTAAAACTATGGGATTAAATATTTAGTGCTGGCTAT